GTCTCTTGCTCGACTTTTTTTTAGGGCGGGGCGGTGGGGTGGAATCCATGATGTTCAAAAAATGTGCCCCCACCACAGTTCTCTCATGGCAAACAGGTTCTTCTGCAAGGTTTGGGGGTGGTGGAAACCATGATGTTCGACCATGTGCCTAAGGCAAACGTGTCTCTTGCTCGTCTGTTTTTTAGGGCGGGGCGTTGGGGGTGGTGGAATCCATGATGTCCAACCCATGTGCTGACCAGAACTCCGATCGCTAGCTCCTTAAAGGCAAATTTGGATACCGGATCTCAGCTCAGAGTCCGAATATCCCGTCCAAGCAGCTAGCCACCCCAAAACCCCTCAAGGCAAACAGGTTTTGTTTGTGAACTCTTTGTGCAGTGGCCCTGCGGGTGGTTTGGGGGTAGCGGAAACCATCTGAGGCAAGGCAGAAAAACGGATGGACCCAGTGAGAAGTTGGGAAGGGAAGTGGATACGCAGTTGGGGACCATGTCTTTTCGGCATTGACCATGTTTGGCGGGGAAGCTAAACAAACCAGAGGACAACGGTGCCAACGAAGAACTGACACGGAACCTCCAAGATGAGGCTCTCCTTAACATATCCCTGAAACGGTACCAGTACCAGCGCTCCTTAAACACAAACGCCCCCATATGCTCGGACTACTGACTGCTGTTCCCTGGTGTGGCGTTTCCCTGGACCGTTCGCTCCAGTTCACTGGTTCTCAACGTGACCAACTTCACTGGTCAACATGAGAACCAGCTTCTCAGTTCCCCATTGCATAACTTTGCTGTCCTCAGATCCCTTGCTAAAAGTTTAGATTTTAGTGGGTTAGATGGAAACTACCACTAAACCCTGAAAACTCAAAAACCTAGGGCTAGTAGGTAACCCTTCACCATTGTCCTCTTGGTTTTTATACCGGATGGTTCCCTTGCTTACCTACGAAGCTTACGGTAAACAGATCCACCGGGATGGCAATTCGATCGGAAGCGAGCGCGCCTCTCACAGGTGCTGAGGCGATCCAGGAGGTTCTCCGTATTGAGGCCTCGCACCAACCATCGAGCTGCCTGCGGGCGGGGCCACGTGCGGCGGAAAGGTGCGGCTACGTGGTACACGCAACGTTTGGGCCAAAGGTAGGCGCCTTGCAGCTAGGCGCCCCAAAACGAAATAAACAAATATATCCCAGAGGATCCAAGTGCCTCAAGAGGATGGCTTTTGGGGGTAAAAAGGGGTCCGCGTACCTCTGTAAGGAGGTACTTGGACCCTCTGGGTATAGTGTTTCTTTTTGGCGGGGGGGGGGGGTTACCCATATAGAACTAAGCCCAGGTGGTCTCTCCCCAGCCTCGGATTCACCTGGAACCTTTTGAACCCATCCTGAAAGCTGCAGCACCACTCCGCAGCTTCTGGGCAAAGACCCAAAAAGCTTTTAGACAAAAGCGTTTAGCTCTTGGGGAACAAGAAGACACCACACGGCCGTGATTTCTTTGTGAGTGTGGGAGGTCAGAAAACATATTGATGTGGCAATGCAACTTGAAAAGGGAACCACCTCAAAAGTGCTTGGCCCCTATAAAAAATCACACCCATGTCTGAATATCTGCAATCTACTTCTAACCCTCAATCACAACGCGGCCCCATCTGGGTACCTTACAGAATCCCTGAAATAAGAAACCGAGCCCAGCACAAGAATCAGGGTGCCTGCCGTTTTGCTGAAGGGAAGGCCATAGCATAAAAGGGCTACATAAATACCCACATGTCGCTTCTGTGATTGTGATTTGACTTGGTCTTACCCCTGAAACCAATTCGGGTTATTCATGCCTTGCAGTAATGTCCCCAGGTTCACTGGGTCTGGGTGGTTGTCCTTGATTCTGGCCCAGAATTGTTTAGTAAGCCTTCAAGTGTAAACAAGCTTCAAACAAGATGACTGTTGCCCAAGCTTAGCTTTAAACACACAGTGGAGGCTTCTCTAGGCTGCTCACAGGTGGCAGATAATGATAACAGGGATGGGCCATCGACAGAAACAAATGTGAAGACGGCTCGCAACAAAAACAATGCGCAGGCATGGTAAATGATCAGAAAAGGACTTCGAATACAATGACAACAACGGATCCCGCAAAGAACACGCCTCGGTCTTCAGAACACCAAGCCAGCACCTTTTATTTACGCTTTGCATCCCACCTCCACAGAAGAAAATTGGCGTGAGCTGCAAGCCATGCTTTCTAAGTCTTTAAGGTGATACAGCTTCCAGCCTGAATGTGAAGCGAGTTCACCAACATGGCGGATAAATACTAATTATAAATCCTCCGGACCCAAACCGGCCCTGTCTCACTTTTGGTCCTCTCGCTGCTGGATTTCATCTCAGTCGCGTCATCACTCCTCGAGTCAGACACAGGTTTGCAAAACCATCCCATGGAATCCCTGCAAAACCACAGGTGACGACCTAGGCCCTTACAACTACCCCTATGTCTTGGTTGACGTTGGAAGGGGAGCAAAAATAATAATTTTAGCAGTTGAGTGGGGATTTCAACCACTAAACCACAATAAGCAAAAATGTAAAATGTTTCCCAAGAAGGCTGGTAACGTAAACCCTGACACAAATAATCATCTAAGTCATAGGGCAACCAGTGAGATACCTGAAATGAACAGGTGGTCAACTTTTTCGCACAATGTCGAGACCCTTGATGAGAGTTGAGAATTAAGAGAACCAACATGAAGCCGATGATACCATTGTAGGGTCTGGTCTGGTGATTTGTTTGTGACTCATGGAAGTTGAATAGGATTTGAAGGCTAATGGCATTAACCCACGCTGCTGTACCCCCTTCAAAGAAGAGGCCAAGCAACTTAGCAAGACCCATTTGGCAAAAAAACAAGTTCTTCCCAAAAGGACATGCATCATGGGGGGGACAGTATTCATTGTTACAAAGGAGAAGCGACTTAGATGAACACTGCCATGGTCGAGGGTTTGCCTTTGACCCCCTTTCGAGGACGGCAAGCCACGTCGTCTCCTCGACAAGGCGCAGCGAAATTCGCGAGCTCAGCTGTTCTCTTCCGTCGCGCGATCACCAGCGGGGCGACCTCGAAATCGTAGCTTCGCAAAAGCTTCCGAGCGTCAGTTGAGCAAAAGTACGCGGAGTCTCCTTCTGACCCGAAGATGGGGTCATGAGTCTTTGTCCACAAGAAAGGGGTGGCTCCATCTTTCAAGGGACACTCCAGGCGGGTACAAATAGATGGCGCGAAACCCTTTGTGTTTTTTTTTCTTATTCTTTTGGTACCATTTACGTACCCACATGGGAGTTGTGCCATCTTTCAGCCTATCTCGGACTCCCGAACTTCCAGTTTTCGAGAGCCGAAGGAGCGTCTTTGGTGAGACTGTTTTCTGGGCTGCCCTCAGATCCCACCACTGAACACTAAAAGGCTAAAAAGCTAAGGAACCGGATGGCTGGGAGCCACCAAGTGTTGTTGAGGATACAGGTTGGGACACGTCAGCATCATAGGTGTCCGTTTGGGGCATCTAGATGGGTTTCCCTGGTAGATGATTAAACCACCAGGTAAAAAAGGGGAATCGCCATCTATTTTTCTACCAAAACCACCAAACAAACGCCTATGCAAGTGCCCCATGAAAAACAACAACTAAAACTGGTCTGGTATATGATTAAACCACCAATCGCCATCTATTTTCTACCAAAACCACCAAAAAGGACTCCTATGCAAGTGCCCCATCAAAAACAAACACTAAAACTGCCCCATCAAAAATTAAGCAGCATCTATTTTTCTACAAAAACAAAACCAACAAGGACACCTATTGTCAGCATGTTCTACAAGACTTCAGAACCAGAACTCAGGTTCCCCAAGTAGAGCACCTGCACGGCGACCTGGTACCAAATCTCAGATGCCCAGTGCACCCTTTTTTGGGTTTGTAGTTTAAAGGGCAACCCTTCCCCAAAAAAAAAGGAAAAAAGGAAGCAACACACTGGGCAGCAGAGAAAAATGGCCATGGGTCAAAAGCCAAATCGTACCCCCAGTGAACATCCCAATCCCCACTAAAATAGACAAAATGGGTGCTGCACCTACCCCAAAATGGTACCATATTGGTTTTGACCCACAGCCAAAAAAAAATGGCCACAAACCTCGGCAGATGGATTCAGCACATCGAGCTCTCCCGCCTCCGGACCGCGGAACTAGCCGCGAAGGGAACCGCGAGGTCTGCTTGGGCTTCGTGGTGATTCCACCTCCATGAGACTCAGCTGTTGCTGTCTTGTGTCTTTCATCAGGTTCCCATTTTTTTTTGGTTTGGTACCTTAGAAGCTGCTGAACGACCCCCTTTTTACTAAACCCCTAAAAGCCATCAAAAGGGACCCTCTGGGGTTGCTGCTTTTATATGGTTGTTGGCTGCAAATACATGATTCTTGTTGGCCGCTTGAACTGACTTTTGGCTGTCCTTGTTTCATTGGTGCTGCTTGTTTGTTTCATTGTTGACGCGCGTTTCTGGTAGCTTTTCCCACGCCTCAATTGTATTGATCGACTTTCGATTCCTCGAAAATTTGGATGGTCGGGGGGGGAGGGGGGGGTGATTCCGTATCATCTGTGAGATGTCTCCTTTGTGGCAATAAGGGCCAGAATAAGTGTCAAACTAGGGGGACCCCAACATGGTAGGTTTCCTGTTGGCTTCCTCCTTTAAGCCAAGCCGTCAAAGAGACACACACACACACACGCACCCACTTGCTATCATTTGCCGCCCCGACAAATTGTCCATTGTTGTCATTTACCCCCAAAGGGCCAATGGAAACCCATATGTATTGCACAAAAAGGCACTTGCATCGATGTGGACATGCCTCCCCGTTTGTTCTTCCCTGGACCTTCCAACCAGAAACACCGTGCTTTTTCGTGGGGCTGCAAAATGGATATTGTGAGCAACTTCATTGGCCGCCTAACCCCCCCCCCCCTACCCCCCCCCCACCCAGGGGTGTCTGCGCCTGCCAGCCCATTCGCCGATTTGTCGCTTCGTCGGGTTCTCAGCGCCGTTTTCGGAAGTCCACGAAGACGTAGGAGGCACGGCTCAGCGTCTCCCCGGGCGTAGGCAAAGACCTGGGCAAGCGACCCATGATGTAACAAAAACGAGGTTAGATGGGGCGAGGTTCAGAGTTCACACATTTCTTTGTTGATTGGCTGGTTTCTTTGTTGTTGTCCATGTTCTCTCTTGGTTTCCTGTGCTTGATTGTGTTTTCTTTTTTGGAAGGGGGGAGGGGGTGGTACCTTACTGCGGTTGGTTTGGAGGGGAACAAACGAGAAATCACAATGTCCATGTGTGGGTTCTGCCTCTTTAAAGCAAACCAATGCCTGATCGCCGAGTTGACCCAAAAGAAAGGAAGACTCATCATGGGAGCGAAGGTTGCCATAGCCATGCTTTGCCAAAAAGGCAGCGATTGTTTGGAGCAGCCGTCCCAAAAAACTAGGGACCCCCTCAAAGACACATTCTCGTCCGGGCTACATCTTTGCTTTGTCAGGGGCACCATAGGGCCCATGGGTCGAACCCTGATGCCCACTGATTTCATCCGCCCCGACAAGACAAGGCCATGGCCCAGTGAGTGTCCAAGAGGACTCAAGCCGAAAAGGATGGCTTGGAGCCCAGCGATTTGGTGGTGTTCCGGAGCATCGTATAATTTACCCTCCAGGCAAGGGGAAAGATCCGAATCCAAACCAATCCAAACCACCAATATCCAGGATTACCGGCTGTTTGACTTTCGCACGATCGAAAAGAACGAGGAGCCAACCCCTAGACTTCTCTATCCGGTTACATCCCCTTGAAACATCACCTAACAGAAAGGCGTGCGCTGAAAAAACAAAAGCAAACACAAAGTTATTGACTAACTCAGATGCCCAGTGGATTTCCATGGGGAAAAAAGGGCACTTTTTTTGTTGGTTGAGTTTAAAGGGGAACCCTTACCCAGAGAAAGGAAACAAGGGCGGAATCCACTGGGCAACAGAGCTAACATGTGCCCAAGAAAGAAAACACATGTCGGGTGTTCTCAGATCGGCCTTTATGCTTTGCACACCATGCTGTCTATTTCTCAGATACCCTAAGGGGCCTCGACCACATCCGGGTGAACGGCCGATTCCGAGACAACTCTTGCAAAGTTGCTGTTGCCTTCTGATCCATCGAATTCTCCAACCATGATTCGTTTGGGATGGCGATTTTGGAGGTACCTGGAGTCTCCATGACCCTTAAACAATGGGGTCATTACCTAAAATAACGGGGTCATGGACCCATTTTTAAAGGGTCATGGAGACTCCAGGTACCCTCTTTCCGAGACAACTCTGGAAGCGGACAGAGGGGTGCCCCAGGAAAACCGTCTTCCAAAACACATCTATCAGCAGCCATGATTGTTGGATTGAGACCTTTTTTATGCGAATGCCGCCTGGGGAATCAAACGTTTTGGGGGACTTTTGCCCCCGAGAAAGACAAACAAACCACCGCACCGAAAATAGCGAGCGAGCCGCACCAAGGACGCGTTGACCTCAGCCTCGTCATTGAACTCCGTCTGCCTGAGAACCAGTTGCCATGATGGAAACCTGACTTGGGATCCATCCGACTCCTTGCGCAAGTTAACTTGCGAGGTTGAGGAACACAAAATTGACAAAGTAAACCCCAAAGGGCGAAAAGGCTGGCTAAAGAAATCTAAAGGATGCCGTGTTCGACCAAACTGGGATCAACGAATCAATCATCATCACATATCATGCCATGAATGGATTGCGTTGGTCTAGCTGCATCCTGCCGGAAGAGCCATAACTAGGTCCTCCAGTAGAGAGGTTAGAATAAAGGTACCCTTTTTTCTGCAGTCTATTTTAGTAGGGGAACCCTCCCAACCAAAAAAGGAACGGTGAGAAAGGGCACCTAGCTGGGAGACCTAGATAAGCAACCTGGAACTCGCCGGTGGTTGGTTTCCCCTTTTCAACTCTACTTCTCCGAGGTTTCATTGGCGCGACTGACTAAAAACAATGACTCCGGAAACCCCCAGTGGCCATGGGACAATAGGGCGCCCGTGTTGGTCGTTTGGCTGTGGGTCAAAACCCTGTACCCCTGGTGAACATCCCAATCCCCAGTAAAATGGACTAAAATGGGTGGTGCACCTAACCCAAATGGTACCATTGGTTTTGACCCACACCCGTTTTGACGTCGAAAGTGAACATTTCCTTAGCAGTTGAAACAGCGCCCCAAAGCTCTGGGGAAAAATATGTTTCTCAGGCCATGGACTTGAAGGCTGAAACAAGAAGAGGAGACCGGCAGCAGAGGAGCCCGGACGGAACTGGTAAGCTTCAAGCGCCCATAGGAGCCATCTAGTTGGAAAATAGATGGGTTTCCCTGCTAGATGATTGAACCACCAGCTAAACCAGGGCCCAATGTTTTCCAACCAAACCAACCCAAAAACAAACGCCTATGCAAGTGCTCCATCCCAAAAATTAAACCAACTGGCCTGGCAGCTCGCCCCCAAGCGACCAACTCCAACAAACAGCGAGCCCGGTGTGCCAACCAAACTCCCAAGCTGAAGAAACTGATCCAACACCTAGCTCCTTTTGGCTCCATCTTCTCCGCGCGTCTTGAACATATGTCGGGCTTGCCATCCAAAACACGAGGGGCGGTCCTGAGAAACTTACATGTTGGTTGCCTTTCATGGAAGGTTGCCTAACGTTGTGGCAAGTGAGTTGTGCTCATGGTCCTCAGGTTAGATCATTTCGGCCAGGCAACAAGCATGTCACCGTGTCAATGCACAAGCAGGGCCGAATACCGAAAGCATATCAAAAAAACAAAAACATTTACCCTCCCACCAATGAACATGGAACTTGATCTTCGGGGGGGTCCTGAAGCACAAGTTTCCTTTTATGAGGGTAGCAGCCACAGAAAGGTCCAGGCAAGCAGCATTGCGGTTTCCATGAAACCCACTAAAAGCTCAGCTTTTAGCAGGGGATCAGTTTGGACAGCCCAGTTACATGGCACACATGTCCAATCTTTGAGGGTGCCGTGGATTGAGGATTGATACAACCCTGAAAAGGGCTAAACAGCTAAGGGGATGGCTGGGCACCAGGGAACGGTCGATCATACTGGCTCAACTGGGATCAACTGGGCCATGCTAGCAGCCTTTGCAAAAACAAAACACCTCCACATGTTAATGCCAAGCTTCCAGTGTCCATAGCGTACACCAACCATACTCAACCCCAAAGCCAGGGAAAAAAAATCCGGAATTAACTTTAAGTGCGTTCAATGTATATAAACCACTAAACCAACTAAAGACAACTCAAAAACTAAGGAACCGAGCAGCTGAGAAACGCAAAGGAAAATCAAAGAGATCTATAACTTATTTCCCCAAATGGGTGTGGATCATAAGATTCACCCGCCAGGTTGGACCGATTTTTTCTCAACCGTGTTTCCATTTGCCAGGGTCCCGGTCCCATCCCTTTTTGGGGTTACCGCCTATTTTTCTGGCCTCATTTTACCATGATCAAAGAGTGATGGGTTAAAGGGAAACACCCAAAATGGTTTCTGACTTTGACAACCCCTAGAGACAACCAACATAATAACCCCATTTTTTGACACCCACGGCCAAACGGCCAAACGGCCAGCAGCACCCGACTCGTCACCCGATCCGTCGCCCGAAAAGTGCGGTCCGCGCGGCAGGTCGATGCGGTGCCTTCCCTCCCCAAAGAGCAGCACGGGAACCGAAGTCTCCGCCAGGTCGAAGGACCACCTCCGCCGCGTTTGTTTCTCCCTGGAGTCTCCTTCTGACCCTTTAAAAATGGGTCAACGACCCCGGTTATTTTAGGTAACGACCCACCATTTTTTAAAGGGTCAGAAGGAGACTCCATGGACCTCTTTTTTGTCCCGGCTGTCCCGAACAGGGAGCCCAGGGAATCCACAGGGACCCATACCCCGTCGGAAGGCTGCGGTCGGGAAGCCGTGAGCCCAGAGGCGCCTCCACGGCACCGCGAAAAGGGGCCACGGAGCCCTTTTTTTTTGAGTCATGGCCGCGTTTGTTGAGGGTCCAGGTTGAACAAGTAGCGCGCAAGGGTCATGGAGACTCCAGGTTCACAAAGTAGCGCGTAAGTAAGGGGGGGCCGCTTTTGTTGAGGGTCATGGAGACTCCAGGTTGAACAAGCAGCGGGCAAGTAAGGGGGCTGGTTTGACGCCTTGTTTTGGGGCAATCCCCGATAGGAAACCTCCCGGCCGTGAAAAGGTTGCAAGGAGCAGAAGACACTTGCAACTTGAGTGACTTGTCCAGTCTTTCCAAGGATCCCTCTTTCCAAACAACCACCCACACACCTAGGGAAAAGGCTGGCTTTTGAAGGATGGTTAAACAACAAATGACATCGATGGACAAGGAATCCCCTTCAAAAAACATGCGCACAAACACACAAACACACAAACACACAAACACACCCACACACACACACACACACACACGCACCCACAACCCAACCACCCAACCACCCAACCACCCACCCACCCTCCCTGCCTCCCACGCACGCACGCGCACGCACAGATACGTGCACACACACACATACACCCACCCACCCACTCACGCACAAACACGCACAGACTCGCACGCGCACACACAGTACAAGTATAAGTATTTCTGGGCTTGTGGTTTCTTAAGGGAAACTAAAGAAAACAACACATTTTGGAGGTCATATCAACTGCCAAAGCACTGGTGCATGCCGGTGAAGTTCATGTGTTCCGCCTCGTTCCTGCCATTCGCGATGCGCTGAGGGGTCCAAGGAGGGTTTCGGAAGTCTGACGACCTCATCACTGCAAATACCCGTCTTCTTCTTGGAGGATTTTTGAAACCCTTTGTTTCCAATCATATCTGTTCGGTACAATTTGACAAACCTGGTGTTCCACAGTCAATACCTGTGACTCCAGTCAGGGGTTGACATCACATCGTTAACACGCAAATTATTTGAGGAACACCCGAAACTCGGTCACAGCCTTTTGGTCGGAGACGACACCGATGCCTGGCTTGTGGATGTCATGAAACCCCCAAGGTGCCAGGTAAACAAAGGAGTGTGCTGTTGGGAGCCCGATGAAAGTATCGAGGTCTTTCAGCAGAGAAGTTGACCTGCTTTGCTGACATGTGCATGACATTTCTTTGGAGTAAGGAATACAGCCACGTTTCCGTGGTCTCCAAGGCAAGATTCATGGAGTAATCTCCAAAATCATGCAGCCAGCAAAACACAAGTTGTGTGAACAATTGCGTCAAATACCTTCAAAACCGTCGCTGAGCTCAGTCCGCGAGGTCTCATACCTGCTGTACGTTGTTTGGCAAAAAAGGTGGGTGGGCCGGGGTGACAAACGAGGTTCTGAGAATCCACCGATCTGGGTGGTGCAAGGAGGTGCTTCTGCAAGTAAGTGTGTGCGTGCTTCTCACCGAGCAGCGCGCTTTTGGAAATATGGCCAAGCAATGCATAGCGCTCCATGAGAGATGCATGCTGATCTTCTACAATCGCATGTTGCAACCTGTCCCCCCCCCAAGTGGATCCTCAAGATTTATGAAATGCGGGTTTCAAGATTCAGGTATGCAACGAGCAGCCTTTGGGTGCATTTGGAGACCCACTTCCATTTGCGTTATCGGTTCCCTTTAAAACCAACACGGGGAAAATAAAACATTAAGCAAATGGAAGCCCACCAAGCTGTTGGCTTTCCTCGTGGCTTTCCTTAAGACCAACCAGTGAAAACCTCAAAAAAAGAGGAGACCCACTCATTCATCCCAGAGGCGTGGTTTTTGGCACACCCCCGCAGGGCACCGCTGAGAAGCAAAGCAAAGAAAGGATGAACAACTTGGTATACCTGGACCCTCAAACTACACAACAAATGGGAAGTCATCCCATATGATTTCGGCAACCCATGTTTAGGGAACTTTGAGGGTGTACATAGTGGTTGTCATGTTCACCATCTAGAGCAGCAATGTTGAGATAACATTCGGCCAAGCCCATGTTTCAACATGTGTAAGCCACTACTTGGAGTCTCCATGACCCTTTAAAAATGGGGTCATTACCCTAAATAATGGGTTCATGACCAACCATTTCTTAAAGGGTCATGGTGACTCCAGGTATTGTTGAAGCAATCTCCTTTTGGCTAAGATTCTTGGGACCTCAACAAGTTCGCTAATGGAGAGTCCAATGCCCAGTGCTTCCAGTTGTCTCCAGTTGGCCCCCAGTGGATCGCAAACAAGAAACAGCTTACCCCTTAAAACTCCAAGCCCTGGGGAAGTTAATCTTTTACAGACATAGAGCCCATGTTGCCCAAAAAGTTGAAAAGTTGTGGTTTTAAGAGGTAAGACATGGACCTTAGGGGTCTTTCTCAAAATAGGGCTTCATCTCAAAACAGGGCTCCCCTTCTTGGATCAATTGAGGGAAACCAGACGGGAACCAACCCACTGGGGCTCTGCCCAAATGCTTGGTTGACATTGGAAGGGGAGCAAACACACAAATAGTAGCAGTTAAGTGGGGATTTCAGCCACTAAACCGCAATAAGCCAAAATGTGAAACATGTTTCCCAACGGCCAGGGATGTGGATCCTGGGCTCCTGTTAAATGGATGAAACCCAATGGATCCCTGGCAAATGGAAACATGGACTAAAACCTGCGGTCCCCTGTTCAATTAATTTTCACCCATACCGAAATGTTTCCCAACAGCCACCATGAATGGATGAAACCCATTTCCCTCCACCCCTGCGCGTCTGGTTGTTCCGCCTGGCGTGGCGTAGCCAGAGCCGTCCGCCCGGGCGCAGCACTCGGAGCATCGCCCGCAGCGCCCGGGTGGGGTGCAGGGCGTGGTCCAAGGCGTTGCGCACGTGGACCAAGTCCTGGCGACCAGCAAAACCACGCAAAGCAGGTGACCACCAAGAGTCACAGGTTGGTGGGTTGGTTGCCTGGGTTTCCCAAATCGCAAGCTGATCAATTTGCGGGACATGTGACCAGCAACTCCAGGGTTCCACTTTTTGACTACCCCGAGGCAGGCTTAATCCCAGGTTTTGTTTGGTTGGAATCAAGCATCTTTGAGTTTAAGTCTACCTTGGGGCCTTGGGGTAAAAGTGGAACGCCAACGACAGTTACAGGAGTCACTGGATTTCCCAAAATCAAAAGTTGATCCATTTGCAGGTGGTTTCCATTGAACCGATCGCTTTGGGAGATTCCAAGGGACATGGCTCGGAACCCTGAGCCATGAACATCCCAGCGTGATTCAGGGATCCTTACATTATACACCTGAACATTGCAACTTGTAAATTGTGGTTTCCCTTCGTTTTGGTGCTGAAAAAGCGACATGTTTCAAATGGTTGCAAAATGTATCTTTTAAGGAGCCCTGTGATTCTTGGGGTCTTTTTCGAAGGAACCGCGGTCGGTGGTTTCCTTCGAAGGAAAACAAAAGAGCCCTCTTGGACCAACTTGATTTAGAAACCACGTGACCCGGTGATAAAAAAAAAAAAGATGTGTGGATGTTCTTTGAGTTTTTACTAGTACCCAGAGGGTCCCTTGGTACCTTCTAAGGAGGTACACCCCTCTTTACCCCCTAAAAGCCATCCTCATGAGACTCTCTGGGGTAGGGTAGCTTTTGAGCTTGGCTTTACCACGAAACCAATGGGAAACCAGGTATGTGACGGGGCTTCCGATTCCTATGTTGAGACACTTCCATTTAATGTGGGTATGTCTCAAAAAATGGCATGTGGGCCTCGGTTCCCTTTGGGGTTTCACCCTTTAAACAGAAGGAAACTGGCGGGTTACTGCGATGGGTACTGGGATCCATGCGGAGAGAAGAACAAAGGACGATTGCATGGGAAGAAAGGGAATGCCTTTCACATCTCCAGTCCGCTGATTCAAACGGGATATTTCATCGGACGAGTGATGGCTGATTGGGGAGCTCATGTTTCCAAGCCTAGTGAGTGCCTCGTTCATACGTGTTGCCTTTTTCGAAGGCCGAAGCAAGGGAAAGTGTTCAATCAGGAAGCTACGGATTGCTACCTGGAGTCTCCTTCTGACCCTTTAAAAGTGGTTGGTCATGAACCCATTCTTTAGGGTAATGACCAACCATTTTTAAAGGGTCATGGAGACTCCAGGTTTTTTTGACAAACAACGAGTCCGGCAGCGGTCGTCCACTGCGGTCCAAGCGGCGAAGTGTTCAGCGGGGAAGCAGCTGCCAATGTCCTGGCGGAGTGGAGAGGTCCCAAAGGCCCGTTTTGGCCAGTGCCCAGAAACACCAGTGCCTTTCAAATGCCAGAAACACCCGTAAATGAACAAGAAAGGTGGACCAGAAACAATGGTGCCCAGAAACACCCTCAAATGAAAGGTGAAGCTTCCGACTTCGGGAAAGAGGAACTGCCTTTTGTTCGACCTTCATGGCCTTACGCGACTTTCAATCTGTACTGTGAGTTGTTTGGGATGATGTTTGGCAGCTTGAGTCATGCTCGGCTGTCAAGGGGGTCCCCGAACAACGCCTCACTGGGGTCTTTACAGTAGACCCTTCACGAGTTTTTATTGGTTCTGTGGACACCCACAAAAGCCCCCACAGTCGGGGTCCTCCCCATATTCCCCCTAACATATCGCCAAGAGGAGACTCACCAATTGTAGTCTAAAGTATGTTTAAACAACTTGTTTAATGTGGTCAAACAAGGGGGCCCCGAAATGGTGGGTTGGGTTTTCTTTTTGACTGCAAACAAACCAAACCAACCAACCAACCAACCAACCAACCAAACAACCAAACAAACAAACAAACAAACAAACAAAACAAAACAAACACACACACAAACCCATATATCTGGTATTGTGTGGAAAAGAAGAGTCCCCATACTCCACGGCTGTGGCTCAAAACGCGAAAAGGAGCCACTATGTACCTCAGATGCCCAACTGACATGTGAACGAAAAGGACAGCTTTTTGTTGGCTTGGTTGAGTTGAAAGGGGAACCCTTCTCAAAGAAAGGCCGCCAAGGGCAACTTGGGTACAAAAAACAACTGGAAGGAAACACTCAACATATGCAACAAAAACAACAGAAGAGAGGCACTCAGTACGTAAAACAAATAACGGCGCACTTTACAAATAAACCAATAGCGGCACAGTCTATCCAAGAACAAACGGCACTCTGCACAAATTAAACAATGGCACACTGGACAACCAACAAACACCCTGTACAACACAAATCCAATATCATACTGCCAGCCTGGCAATCTGTACAAAAAAACAAACAAACTACAAATACCCATCGATTGCTACCATGCCGGCAACTGGAAAGGTTCCCTCAAATTCGGCTCAACAACATGAAATTAAATCGAACACCAACAACATTTCCATAAACAAGGCATGGTCTTCCTGATACAAAGCACCACCCCGAGGAAACAAGGACCCTCTTGGTACATGGTATTATTGACATAAGATGAACAAACCCGCCCCAATAGGGGGAACAACCCGTCCAAAAGTGATGAATCCCAAAATTAAAGGGGGGCACTGGACTCTCCCTGATCACAATCAAAGGTTTATTACTCTGGGGTGATTTCCCAACCCTTCCAAAAGTGGTCTGAATCCAACCACTCCAAGGGGGACACCCCCCGATCAAAAGTGATGACTCCCCACCCCCGCATCAAAATCAACCCCCGCATCCAAATCAAGGGGTTTGTTCCTCCGGGGTCAAAACGTGGTAAGTAGGTTGTAGCTCCATGGTTATCAGGGGACCAATCACCCCAGTTACCCAAGTTACCATGGTGATAACATACCTACACCCTCAAACTACCCTACAAAATGCGGTTCTTGCCCCAAAATTGCAGGTTAATTCCCAAGTTACCATAATTATAACCCACCCGGACCCTCAAGCTACGGGGAAAAAAAGGGGTTGTTGCCTCAACATCCAATCTTTATGGGTAGTTTTTGCGGGTGTCCGAGTACTCACCTCACCACGTTTTTTTTCACATCCAAGTGAGTCACAATCAAAACCCGGTACTAAACTAGTCGTAATCCCAGAACCATGCCTCAAGAATTAAGAAGGCGGATCTCCGCAGCTATGTATGCCAAGGGGATCGTTCTTAGTTTCATCAGGGATCCTTATTTTATACACCTGAACATTGCCTTGTAAATGGTGGTTTCCCTGTATTTTGGTGTTGAAAAAGCGACATGTTTCAAATGGTTGCAAAATGGAGATCTTTTGAGGAGCCCTGTTCATCTACCCGAACATCTACCCAAATCGGTTTTAAAATGGTATACCCAGAACCATGCTTCAGGAAATCAGCTAGGTATGGCAAGGGGATCGTTCTTTACTAAGCTTCATCTACCCGAATCGGTTTTGAGCAAGTGGCTCAAGCGGAGGCTGGGTCCTCCAGCATGCACTGAGTCAGCGGCTTGGGCGGCCGCAGCTGCAGATGCGCGTAGAGGCCTACCAGACGAGCGGGGGGGCCCGAGCAAGAAGTCGATGTGTTGGTTGAAAGGGAACAGAACCGAGCACCAAAAAGGAAAACACAGAAACACGTTTGTTTGAAGCAAAGATTTGTTGCTGCAAGGCAAAAAAACACTCTTTTTTTAGACAACTGTTTTTTTTCTCATTTTTTTCTAAGGTCCGAAATCCCAAGTAGTGGCCCAACAGCAGTGGTTCAGGCGTGCTGGAAGTAAAAAAGGTAACTCCTCCTTTCGGCTTCCCTTTGGACAAACGACTTATGTGGGTTATTTGGTGCCCGTTTCGTTACGGAATGTATTCCGCCTGTTTCAGGAGGTGGCTAAATAAAAACACACACACACACAGATTTTCTCCCATGATCATGACAGAAAGTGGCTTTCAAGCATCCCACAACCCCATTCAAAAAAAAGTTAGGTCCTTAGGGTAGACTTTTAATGGCTTGGATTGGTGGCTTGAAGTTTTTGAACCCTGGTTCTGGATATTTGCAAAGGGAAGGGCACCCCAAAACTTTCAATCCAAACCATCAACTGAGGGAAGCTAAGGCTTGGAAACCAACACGAAGCATGCGCGGCTCAAAATGGGGAGCGCAAATTCGACACTTACCCGAAACTTGATTTCTAGCTACCTGGAGTCTCCTTCTGACCCGAACCCCATTATTTAGGTTCATGACCAACCATTTTTAAAGGGTCATGGAGACTCCAGGTAGCAATCCGTTTTGAAGCTCCAGATTGCAGGTGCGAGTACAGTTTCCATGGAAACATCGTACCCCTGTGGATTTATTCGCGAAGCCAAGCAAGTGCGACTGGGACTGAGCGAAAAGCCATCCCGAAACTCAGAAAGCGAGAAAGAAAGAAAGAAAGAACAAAAGGAAGAAAGAAACTCGGTTACGTTCTGCTCCCCTGCTAAAAGTTTAACTTTTAGTGGTTTATTAGTGGAAAACCCATTAGTTGGCAAAAAGTTAAAGTCCTAACAGCCAAGCAAAATGCACCAAAGGAAACAAAGGAAGGAGGGAAGGAAAGAAATGAACAAGGAAGGAAAGACAAAAACACAGAAAGAGAGAAAGGTTTCGATTGCTACCATTTCCTTCCAAACGCCTGGATGCCCGCCGCTCCAACAGCTCCCTTACCAGCTAGTTGTTTGAAGCCCTGGATGACACCCCCCCTGCCGATGGCACTACTTGCCCAAAGGACCCAAAAGTTGAAGGTGAATCGTTGTGGACCTTAGCCAAAAGTGTTAACCAAAAATGGGGAAACCTTCCTTCCTTCCAGTCGCGACGAGTCTGTCTGACGCAGCCAATGCACAACTCTCGAATGAATGGGGAAACCAAAAAGGTCAAAAGGTCGATTCGCTTTGGGCAACTGAGGGCAACCAAATCACTTCCGTGCTTGACTAGGAACTCTACGTGCCATCCGCGGTCGACACGGATTTCCATGGGGCCAGACTCGCTAAAAATCCGCCCTCAGGGCAGTCTGTCGGAGCTTGCAAAAGAGCAACACGGCCCTCAAGCCTGTGTGGGAACTCGAATCTATCGCAAATAGATAAAAGCTTGTTTCAAAAGCCTGCGTGGGAATTCGGATTTATCGCAAATAGATGAAAGCTCGTTTCAAAAAAACAGTGGGATGTTCAGCCAACTCAAAACATCAACCAAGCAAATATGCTTGAAAAACAAAGCCGAAACTGTGACGATTGCTGGCCCATGGAGGGTTCCGTACTGTGGATGGAAAAGCGAAATCCATTTCGCACCACGAAATGAAACCATGGTTGAAACCATAACGTTTGCTGGTATTTACAGCGAATCACCATTCCAGGGTTTCTTAGCGTCTTAGGTGGTGCGAAATGGATGTTGTCCATCCACATTATTTCCCCTTTGAACACTTTACTACCCTAATCAACGCACAATCACTTCACCGGACTCTCGCTTTGACGATCGTAATTGCCCCAAGGAAGACACCCATACCCTGCGCCCAACGATCATTGAAGCTAAAGAAAACTCCCGGGAAGTTCGCACTTTCTGGTTCTCAGATTCCGGGAATGAGTTGGAAATGACATGTTTTCCGTGCCTTCCTAGGGCCTCCCCTTCCCCCCCTCTCCTCCCCAGCCATGAGCAAATCGGTGCTTCGAGGCACTGCCATAGAGATCCGCCAGGCCATCGCTGGACACCACCTCCACAGTGCTCGGCCCGCCTGGAGGGTCCACCCTTAAGATAGCAAACGAGAGAGTACTAAAATTACTGAACAATAATTCAGAGAGAAACAACTGGTGAAACAACAGGGGGAATCCACAGAACACGCATCCTTTCCGCTTGGATGTGGGCTCAAATCCCTGCAGCTTAACTTTTGGTTCAATGGAAGCCCAACCACCAAACCCTGAAACCTAAAACCCGAACGGGACGGCTTCTCGAGAACTCGCCTTGCGGTGGGGAACAGGGGGGAACCATTTCTTGGCAGAGAGCCCAAGTGGAACTTGGTACGAACTGACCATTCAACCTCGAAATCAGGCGGCTTACGATCCAGCAACTGGGATCGAGTGGCAACCAAGAAGCCGACATGAACCCTAGTGGTTGGAAGGGAAGCCTTGGAATTCTGGGCTCACTTGCTCACTTGACTTGGAACTACCTGGAGTCTCCTTCTGACCCTTGAAAAATGGTTGGTCATTACCCTAAATGATGAGTTCATGACCCAATTTTTAAGGGGTCATGGAGACTCCAGTAGGGGGGAGGGGGGAGGGTAGGGGGTCTTCAGGTCTCTGACTCATTGGAGGCGATCAAGAAGGCATGAATTGAGGAATCCCTACAGGAAACTCGTTGTGAAAAGTCGGAAACCAGGCATTTTCCAGCGCAACCAAAGAGGAAAGGAAAATGCACACCCGAAATGGGGGTGTTCCCTTGTGGTTCTCCTCACTTTTGGAGGGAACACTCCCCTGGGACAGGTTTAATTAGTCCGGGGGTCAACAGTAAAACAACGACGGCGAGCTTGCGTTGCCGCAAGTTGCAAGTATTTCCAGGTGACCCCGAATTTGTCTGACACCTGCGAGTGGAGAGAAACAAAACAGAAGATACATGGGACTGGAGAAACACCACACACACACACACTGCCATTTGTCTGACACCTGCGAGTGGAGAGACTGCCGATCGAGTGAGCCAAACAAGGTACCCAGACTTCTTGTTTAGCACTTAACTGGTCTTCCCACAAAGTGACCAAAGTCCCGGAACTCAGGCAGTGAGAGGAACACCAAGCCGCTTCATCAACGCATCGGGCGCCAGTGGAACCCCACAAAGGGCATTGTTCTCAAGCCCATACCAGGAAAGCTTCTTAGAACCATAGAAGGGGTTTTAATCGGAGGGTTCCGAGCACCATTCTGGTACGGGGCCTTTTTGGTTTCTTTTTAACACCAAAAACGAAGAGCCCCCCCCAACAACTGCCAGGAGTCCTGTGGCATCCCTTTCTGAAGCCATGACAAAGGGTACTCTTCTTAAGCCCCAAAGGGAAGACTCATGTTTCAGCAGCAAGAGTCTGCTCAGAGCTTCTGACAAACATGTCAGACGCAACAAACACATGGGAGTATGTCTCAAAGCGGGCTCGGGACACCTTCGGCCGATCTCGGTTTCATGATTGGTTCTCTGGTCAAACTTTCGAGCCCGAACGGGTCCGTGACCCATCTGCATGCGAGACTAAACAAACATGAGCTCCGTGTTTGAACAAGAAGACAATCCAGGCCCGGACAGCAAACAGGAAATGGCCAAAGGAAAAGCAGATGCCACTGATGGTCTTCCGTTTTGACATGTAGCTAGCCAGCTGGTCTCACCATATGTGCGACCTAGCGGCATTGCAAATCCCCAGGCACAATGGGCCCACTGCCAGCATTGAGCACACGAGTGGGAGGGTTCAGGCAAAGATCGTCGTAGGTCCAATCCTGGAAAGGCACTCCCGACCCAAAAAGGGCCCAGCATAGCGGGTGCTTCATTCATACACTAAGATCTCTCGACAAAGCTTCCACTTGCTGCCACCTGGAAACAAATCCAGTGATAGCTTCCCTCCACCAACGAGGGAAAATAACGTTCTCAAGCAAATGGAAGACAATGCCCAAACACGAACTGTGAAGTGAAACCTGCTTATGCATCCCTGGTTTCGGACGGCTCGAAATGGTCATCACTCCGGATAGCCCTCATCATCACTCAATCAACCCCAGTTTATAAATAAGGGGGTGTCCCTGGGTTTAGTGGGGAATCATCACTTTTAGAGCGGAACACCCCGCTATGAATAAGGGGTCGATTCATTTGCGGTCCACATTAGTCCATTCTTGCGTACACTATAGGGTTCAACCCCCAAAAGAATGGCAAGGGCCCAATTTGGATGACTGAAAACGGTAAACACTGGCGGTTAGGTGACCCCAGCCATTGTTTTCATGGTAGCTGAACCCCTCTATAAAAACCCCTAGGGCTGGGCAACTCGGACCCGTGGATTTCCGTTTGGGAAAAAAGGATCGGCACGCGTTGGAGGATGTTCAAGGGAAACCCCCAACAAGGAACAGAGGGCGCCACTCGAGGTCTATCACAGCTTTTCTGGGGGTCGAATTTCTTGGCCCAAACATGTGGATGATCCATCTCGAGTCAATCTTACACCGTAAAGATATGGCATTGGATCAATATTACACCACCAGATCGGACCGCAGGTTTCAGCCTTTGTTTCCATTTACCAGGAAATGCCCCATTTTGGGGTTACTCTGTTCTTGACCCACGCAAAACAGGTTTGTGAGAGAAGCACTGTAGAGAACACCAAAGTCTTTGAAGGTGGCTTGACAATGAACGAAACAAGGGTCATAGTAATTATAGGATCTCCTGTAAACCGTCCAACTGTTAGTAAGGCAGGTCCAAGATGCGTGTTGCCGATGCTTCCAAGTGGGGAGCCCTCAAAAAGATTACGCCGAATTCCCTGGTCTCAAAAACAACTACCTGGAGTCTCCATGGCCCTTTAAAAATGGTTGGTCATTACCCAAAATAATGGCTTCATGACCCCATTTTTACAGGGTCAGAAGGAGACTCCAGGTATGAGGCTTCCCTGGCAATACATTTCTCCTTTGAACCCACCAAAGCAAACCTGGGATGGAGATCTCACTCGCGATCCGCGGAGTCGACTCGAGTCCGCCTCCGTCACGGACCTGTCCAGCCAGCCAGCAGGCCGCTTGTGGCGCCGCAGCCACCACAGCCAGAAGGCCATCTCGTTCTGCAGGCCTTCGCGAGCATACTTCTGTGTCTTCACTTGCGTGCTTTGTGTGGTATGTTGTGTGTGTGTGTTGTATGTGTGTTGTGTCTGTTTGTTTGTTTGTTTGTTTGCTTGCTTGCTTGCTTGCTGTTTGTTTGTTTGTTTGTTTGTTTGTTTGTTTGTTTGTTTGTTTGTTTGTTTGTTTGTCTGTTTGTGTCTTCTTTGTAGGTGTTTGTCCCTAAGGGTTCCCAACTTTAAGCTGGCTTGCCAACTGGAAAACCATCAGTTTGGGCGGTCCCCCTTGACAGATGCCCAACCAGGGCAGCGTGACTTTCCAGATACCACTGTACTTAGAGTAGGGGAACCCATGACGTAGAACCTAGTGATAAGAAACCATGGTTACCTAGGACAATCGCCATGGGGTCAATACACCAGTCCTGGGTTGAGGTTGGGAGTTCAAAGAAATTTCGGGGTGAGTTTGTTGGGAACCCTGTTTCACCTGGGAAACCCAACGGAAAACTGAAATCCATTTTGGGTGTCCCCGTATATATATATATATATTGGTACCCCCACCCCAAAACCCAGGTTCGGTCTAACCTGAATCTGCCAGAACCCTCAGTTGTCAGGCTGTTTTTTCAGTTTTCATTCAAGCTTTCTGGAAACTCTCTGGCAATTCCTCAATACAATTCAGACAAGAAACTCTCTGCAAAACTGAACAAACTGCAAAAAAACTGAGTTTTCCAGGAAGCTTTCTGGAAACTCTCTGGCAATTCCTCAATACAATTCAGACAAGAAACTCTCTGCAAAACTGAACAAACTGGGAAAAACTGAAAAAAACTGAAAAAACTGAAAAACCAAGGATTCTGAGGGACATGACCCCCCCCAGCCATGTCCCTCAGAATCCTTGGTTTTTCAGTTTTTTTTTTCAGTTTTTTTAGTTTTTTTCAGTTTTTTCAGTTTTTTCAGTTTTTTCAGTTTTCCAGGGCATCTGAGCAGAACCGAGCCCATATTTGAAGCTGTCTGGCTCCAGTGCTTCCTTGCTCCTCTTCTGCCCTTGCTCTGATCCTGTCCTAGCATGGCCAAGGAGCCTGAGGATATGACCTTTGATGACCTCAAGAACGCATGCGACGCTTATGTATGCAGAAGCATGCCATCACCCTTTGTGTCCTCCTCACTGCCAATTGGCATCTTCAACCACGTCAATTTCCCCATGGCGGAGGCAGGCGGCGTGGAGGCCAACCCAGGCGTGCACTGGCTGGAGCTCGTCACAAGGCACCCTCTTGACTTCAACTTTGATGACCTGTCCACGTGCTACAAGCAGGCCATAACTCAAGGTGATCTTCGGCTTCTCCCGGCCCCCTTTGGTGTCAAAACGGAGGTGCCTCGCGACACGAAGCTCCAGATGGTCATCCGGGAAGAGTCGGATGGAACATGCTGTCCTCAAGCACTTTATCTTTCCCCAAAAGTGCAAAGCCAATTTCCTCAAGACTGTCTTCTATGGCCAGGTCCACTGGCCGCTGTATATGCGGCAGCAACCCACTGTGGGCCGGAAGATTCTCCAGTACTGTCTGAGCATGGGGGGGAGGCAATTCAGATGCTTTCAGCTAACCTTGCAAGCCACCGCCCCACGCAAGCAGGCTGCCTTTGAAGAGCTGGAAGATGAGGACCTTGATGCAGGCTTCGACTTCCTGTCCAAGCATGGCCCCAGAAGTGGATCTGATCTTCAGCAACTTCGTTGGCAAACAAAGGAATTGCGCAAGAAGGATTCCCCAGTCTTTGGCTGGCCCCAAGCACTGGTGGACAAAGCTCTTCGCACTTTGTCCTCCGATGGTGCCCTTGCCAGAAAGGAATTCGACTGGCCCCTGCGTTTGACATCTACCTTCTTCAGACCCTGGGTGCTCGAGATTCTTGAGGCTGTGTGGGATTTCGACAAGTCTTCCTTGGTGCTGTTGGGGGAGAGCGGTGCAGGCAAAAGTCCTTTGGGAAGGAGTGTCCTGATGGCTCAGTGCAGGCGGAACAAGCAGATCTTTGAATGTCACCATCGGCCTTGCATTAGGTGCACACCTGAGCTGGACTTCTTGCGCGGGGAGCCTGGGCTTGTGAGCATTGGCGACTTTCTGGATGACCCGACCTCATCAGAGCTCAGCATCAAAGCGCTGAAGTCTTTGCTTGATGTAGGCTTGTATGAGTCTATGTCCTGGGCAAGATGGGGTGCAGTCAAATGGGTTCAGAACCAGCCCCGTGCCCTCGCAGCAAACACCTATGACGAGAACGTGAACGAGGGTGAGGACTACATCCAGCACATCACGTTCGCTGACTTCAAGAAGATGGTCCGGCCTAGCATTAAGGGAGACGCATCTGGTGCAGATGTGGATGCAATCTTCAAGCGCGCATGCTTCATCCTCAACACCAAGAAGTTCGTGTACTACCGCCCTTCTGGAGTTAACGAGGATAAGGTGGCGCGCCGCTTTGTGGAAGGCCCTGACTTTCTGACACAGACAGGAAAGATGCTGTATGGCAAGTACAAGGACAACTGCAAGACATTGCCCGAGAATTTCGAGGAGGAGGTGCGCAAAGAGCAAGCCTGGCTTGAGCTTGTCTTCAAGCAGAAGCAAGAGAAGCAGGACCCCAAGTACAAGCAGAACCAGCAGCTGAGGCAGCTCTTCCGTGGGCATGAGGAAAACAAGTCTTGCCTTGAGAAGATGGAGACGAAGGTCAAGGTGAAGAGAGAGATCGAGGAAGCCCGGGCAGACGAGGCCTTGAAGAAGGCCAAGGTCTGGAGCACAGAGCTGAAGGCCAGTAGGACTTTCATTGTGTTGGATGATGAGGATAACACGCAGGCCGACACGGTGCAGGAGACTAAGGAAGACCCAGAGTATGAAGAGAACCCCTTTGGTCATGGCACCTTGGAGTGAGCATTTTGCAAAAGGGCGTGGGTTCAAACTGTGGTATATGCGCACAGTTTGTATGACACAGTGGCTACCTCCAATGGTACGCATGCACAAACTAGTGTGCACTTGACACATATAGCAAAGGGGCTCTTTGCTTAATTAACACACTCCGCGCATGGCTCTCATCAAGAAAAAAAGGAGCTTGCGTTTGCAGTCTGCATATTCCCCTTGCCTCTGGAAAAAATGTTGTCACGCATGTCCCTCACACGCACATGCTTTCAAGTCTTTTGGCTTTCTACGCAGACTGCTAAGCTCGCTCTCTCCTACTTCCCGATGGTGGCTAAGTTCAACCCTTTCCCTGACCCGAAGAAGGGCAAAGGCCGCACACTGCTCAAGAGGCCTGCGATGAAGAAGAACAAGACGTGGGATGCTGTGAAGTACAGCAGGACAACTTCACTGGCAGCTGGACCTGGCGGGCAGCGCATGGACCGCTTCAAGTGGAAGAGGTCTTTGACTCATGCTTACAGCCACCCCCTTGAATGTGGTGAAGATGCTGCGGGCTGACCGCATCCTCCCAAAGTGGGAAGGCAAGGTGTGTCCACGCTATGAGAAGGGCACCTTGTCTGGGCTGAAGCTCGAAGCTGGCACAGGCATGCCAAAGCACCGGTGCTCCCATTGGAAATGCCGTGTCTACATCAACCCACAGCACCTGCACCCTCTCTTCGTGGATGGCCGCGGCGCTGCTGCGCAGCCCTTGCAGACACAGGCAGCCCTCCTCATGTTGAAGCTCAACAACATTTCCAACCCTGCGGTCCATCGTCTTCTTCATGTCAACCACAAGATGGTCGAGGACCTTGACAAGAGGCTGTGTCATGCTCGCAAGACATGGGTGGAGGCAAAGGAGAAGGACATTGTCTTTGGCAAGGACCAGAAGTGGGCGGATGTCGAGGCGGACGAGACGACCTTCGATCGCATGGAGCTTGGTAACAAAGCCCCTGACCCCAAGAACCCGGTCGTTTGGGAGCAGTGGTGTGGCATAGTCCAACGTGGCCACCCGGAGACACTTGTCTTGAGCAGGCTGTCCCCCAGGGAGTCGGCCAAGAGAGCTCCCGGGCCTGGCGCCATCAGAAAGGTGGAATGGACTCCTTTGGCAAAGAAGTGGTTGCAGGACAAGAAGGTGATCCTGCACACTGACTCGGCCAAGAGCTACAAGACCAGGGTGCCTGGGGTGCTCCACGACAAGGTGGTCCACGGGAAGAAGCGGGTCAAAGTCAAGGGTCAGTGGAAGTGGAAGGCCCCAACCTATGTAAAGCTCGCGAAGCACAAGAACCCGATCACGAAGAAGATGATCACAGTGAAGTCTGGGACACAGGTGGTTGATCGGGCCTGGAAGTTTTTGAAGGACAGGTTGACCATCAACCAGAATGCGAAGGTAGGGTCGTCTTTGTTACGAGCAAAGCTTCGTTCTGCACAGTATCAGTACTGGTATAGGAACCAGGATATGTGGGTTGCATCTGGGACACTGTGCGAATGGTTGATGACTAAGTTCATCAAAAAGCCATCCCAGTGAGTGTGATGCAGGCTTTCTCGGGGCCCTGGTTCAAAAGGAGTGCCTTCTGCATGCACGCATGCCAAAACACGGGTTTTGGGAGGGGGGGGGGGTAGCATATATATATATATATGTATAGCTGAATGGTGCTCGCCCCCAGCCTTTGGGACACTCCCACAAAAGCTCCTTTTAGTCCATTCGGCGCAACCCTGGCTACACGTTCGGTGAGGTTTGTGGCGAGATGGCGAGTGTTTGCCTCATGAGATCCGGTTTTCCAGGCATCAGGTTTTCTCCAGTTGGTGGTTAGGATTGGGTCGGGGAGTGGCCAAAGGTTGTGGAGTCATCATCCCTTTACTTGCCCACAAGAAAAGGGAATCTTGGCAGTGGTTATGGGCGTTTCCCTTTTCTCTCTGCACGAACTGAGGATTCAAATTCTTAAACCGCCAATCCAAACGGTACCTGAAAGTCTCGAATGATACTAATTATTAATTCACCTGACGCGGAGAACTCCTTGAATTGATACACATTGTTTTGCTCGAGCTCGCGTGGCAAAAAAATAGCGTGCAAGTGACGGGAACCGCAAAGACGCGGATTTCTAGGGGTACGGCTGGCTTTTGAAAAGAACGATGGCTGGAAAGAATGGGGAATCAACCCCTAGAGGATTGCTCGGCACTGCCAGCTTGATAGTTTGCATTTGTTACCCATGGCAGCATGACTCTGTACAAAAGGGGTATCAATCCATGCTTGCCTCTGCTGCTGCTGCTCCTGCTGCTGCTGTTTTGGCAAACCGGTTCATATCATACAGCTTGCTATTCGCAGTTCCCGGCAGTTGGGCCCTATCGGAGCTTCCGTTGTTGGCCAAGTGGGAAAAAGAGCATCCCCTTTCTGCAGAATCGAAACCCTGTGCAAAAACGCTGGAGAAAATGGAAGCAACCTGTTCGAGATCTGAGTCACGTGCATCCACCCCATACCACCGGGCCCGGTACTGACAGCTACTGGCAGTCCCGAATTAATCAACCCAGTAGAATATTCTGAAAGCAGGGGCGTGGGGTTGGGGGGATTACTCCCAACAAGTGAAGGATCTCTAAAACGGGGTATAAACCCGTACTAATCAGTCAGGCATTCTGCTTAATCCTGGGTTCCCATTGAGACCCACCCGCATCCCGAGCGAAAAGCCTGCTGTTGCCCACTGCATTGCTGCCAGGATCCCTTCCTCAGTTGATGGTCGCATACACATTCAGTCATATGCACATGCCGAGCGAGAAAATCAGACAAAATTAGGATAGTCTCACCGAAAGCAATGCCCTTACCTGGAAAACAATGGAAAAAGCAGGCCTACTGTACCCAAGCAGGTTTGTATGTAGACCCTAACTTCACGGGTCTCGTCGCAGCGCACTGCGGCCAGTTGGGACGACTCCAAAATGCCAGTCGCGTCGTCATTTAATTGGCACGCTGCCAGGGCAAAAAAATGCCCCCTAACTTTGACGCATACCAGGGAACCTTTTCGGGAGTATGAAAGAACTCCATGGTCCAAAAGGTCCGGAGTATGAAAGAACTCAGTATAAACCTGGAACCATGATCCAAAAACAAGCAGGTCCGCTGTTTTGACACATTGATCTCCTGGAGGCGCCGCTTACCGCTGCCTTCTTCGTTTCTGGGGTAGTCGAAAGCATTGAAGACAGAGATCCGCAAAACATGTCCGGCTGCTGGCTGAATTTTTGGTTTACACAAATCCCTATCAGGATCTATCTTCTGGCCACTCTGGGTAAACAAATGTAGAACATGTAGGTCCCTTCTACACGAGAGTCGTGTTTTGTACGCAATACGGGTAGGCCTCTGTTGCCGGCAAGGGAAGAAACAAGTCCCAGAGGTCAGTGGCCATGGAAAAAAGGGGCAGCCCCTGTTTTGCGGTTCCGCCACATTGCTCAGGACCCCCCGCCCCCCACAATTGGAGTGTGGAGCCGAAAAATCCCGACCGAAGCCAAACATCAAGCCTTCCGTCTTGGGGGAGTGAACAATATTTCAAGGAAACCCCGTAATATAAAGAAGAACAGGACCCCCCTATGTGAATGCCTTTGGGAGAGCAGGCATCGCACGCGGTGTGTGTGTGTGTGTGTGCCTCCAACGCATGGTATATGTAATGACTTACATAACATAAAAACTGCTTGCACAAACCATTAACATGTACCTGACAGCCATAGAAAGAGAAAGGACCATCATGATGAAGCAATAGACCAGTAACGAAACTGGTACTGGAAATATATGTATATATATATATATATATATTCAAACAGGGCTCCACACATCCGAATATTGGGATAAACCACCTAGTAACTGTTGCACAGTATGAAGCCAACCCCCCCTTCACGGCCGGAAGCGAACACCTCACGCCCTTAGAGTGATCCAAATCACGTTGACTCACCCACAGCTTTTGCCAAACCCAAACTCACGTGGTCCAAGTGAACATCTGGTCCAAAAAAGTGAGCCTCAGTCCTATAGAAGTGAACCTCACAAGCATGATTTGCGTGTATGTGTGTGTGTGTGTGTGTGTTTCTTTTGCGAGGGAGCCCTGTTTTGTGGTTTTAAAGGAAACCACAAAAAAGACCAAAGCCATTTTGGGGCTGAAACTAAATATCGGAAGAGATCGGTGGAATTGAGCGAAACCCGAAACCCATGTCATAGTCTACCAGAACTTGCTGCTGCGGCGAAACCTTCCATTCGCTGATTAAAAAAAAAAAACAGATATGCTCATGTGCGATCCGTCCCCAACAGGCCCTAACCCCATTTGGACTGAAAGTTCCCATACGACCCCCTAGCAACAGCGAAGTCAACATTCGACATAGTTTCAACAGAGATCCCGTCAAGACGCCTTGACAGTGACGCCCTTCAATGCTGGGTCCAGCAGTGTGTGGAACACGCCTGGCTTTTTGTTTGGCGGACGAGACCCTTGAGGTCAAACAGTGAAGACAGGGGGGGGGGAGTCTCTGACCGCTTTCTCTTGGGCAATGACGCCATGTTTTAAGGGTCATGGAGGCTCCACGTACATGGTATCTTTGCCACGGCCAGTAAATATCCTCACATTCCCACATACAAACACACTCTTCCGGTGTCAACTGCCACTAGTTACAGGAACCAAAAGAACCCACTGACCTGTACAAACTAAGGGAGACACGGCTGGTTGGTTTCCTCTCCGAAACGCCTGAGATCGCTTGGATGAGGGCTACCTCTTTTCCCCACATCTGCCCCTTATCTGCCCCTTAGGGACCCGGAAGCCAACAGGTTCAAAGGCTTGGAACAACTGAGCTTAGCATCATGGAGTGCTTCGCGAGATATGCAATAACAACTCCTTGAACACAGGTGGCAAACATACATAGTTGTGGAGATGGCGTTTGTTCCACGATTCGAAGGAGAGCTATAGTCAAGAGAGTGTAGAACCATAAGCTGTCCATCTGCTTGTGGATGTCGTTTCCGAAAACCAAATCAACGTTTTGCGAGGTTTACTTCCCCTGCGCTTTCCAGGGATTTGAGAAATGGACGCAACCCCAAACAGTTGTGCAGCTGAGTTTGGGTTGATCTCGTACCTTTCGCAGGAGAAGGGGCGCGTGGTGGCAAAGATCTCACATCTCACACTAAAAAATGGGCCCAGTCCCATCCCCGGCAACACCAAGAACCTTTCCGGAGAACCTCCTCAGCACCCGGAGCCACTCCTAACCACTCCGGCAACAACACCAAAGGTATCCACAGAAATCATCTTAAAGCGACGCAGGTCCAGAAACTGGTCGGCAGTTGGGGAGAACAAACACAAATACAGCCCCCTCCAAAAAGAAACACGCGCACGCACCAACAAACAAACAATACAACTTACAAAAGATGAACAAACAGCTAAGCAACTAACTCCGCATGTAAGCACTTCCTACCCCCGGCCCCCCTTGTTCCATCCTTCGGTTGCGAGAAGCGCCCGCGAGTCATCGCGCTCGCGCCTCCCTCAAAGCTCCACTGCAGCTTCGGGCAGAAGCTTCCGCAAAGGGTCTGTCGCTTCAAGGCCTCCGGGGGCCGAGGCCGTGGCCAAGTGGAGGCGCGGATCGGAAACGGTTGAAACGGAGGCGGCTCTTGTGGATCCACCCGGCATCCATCTCTTTAAACGCTTTGGATGCGGTTCTTGTGGATCCCTTCTAGAATAGCAAAAGAGTGTTTTTTCTATTTATTTAGTTTTGTTCGAAAGGAACAACTGGCTGGGCTAGAAAACGGTTTGGATGCGGCGTCTTGATGGATCCACCCCTGTAGGACAGAACAAGCTGACAATAAAAGGACCAAGAGGGGGAAGAAATGGGAAGAACTGGTGAAATGTGAAAAATCCACAAGAAGCACATCCAAACCATTTTCTAGAGTTGGGGAAACACCCGCCATGGAGCCGGGGGCAACTTTGATGCATGCCGGGGTGGAGGGGAGGAGCACCAAGAAGGGCACATGGCTTTACTGGGATTCCCTTCAGATTCACCCCATGAGGAAACTCACTTGGCTGTGGCTCAAAAAACCGGGATCCCAGAATGGGACTCCTGTTCACAGCCACTTCAAGTTGGCCGAAGAAGTGATGTTGAAAGCCTCCAACAAGGACATATGAACCCCCCCCCTCCTCCATTCGTGGGGTCTCCTTTTTGTGAAGGTGACCTCCTGTTGTAGAAGTTGCCCCCACTTCTGGTAGGCCAGAAGGGGAACCAACACGTCCACATGTGTCAGAGTGAGTCAGAACAAAAGGAGTCATGTATAATCAATAAACAAAACACAGCTTTCCATTATTGCTGCAACTGTCCCCATGCTAACCTTCAGAACTTCACTCACCTAGGCTGTGAAGAAGGCCAGGTGTGCGAGCGGTTATAAGGGGCAGATTGACTTCCATCTGCGTGTTCGCCCCCCTGAAAAACGACAAATATATGTCCAGTATAGTGATATTTACGACCAACAGCGGAAAATAAACAATATTATGAAGTAAATGGAAGTTGACAATGGACAGTGGACGAGGTCCATTCCCCTAATGTCGGCCCCTGGTCAACAACACCGATTGGGAATCAGGGATTGCGGGCCGGCTTCGTTGGTGAAATTCCTTTCTTGCAAGACAAGCAAGCTTGCCTTCAAATTGTCTTGATCAAAGGGAACTGACAAACGACCAAATGGAAAAGCATGGTTAAACGGGGGATCTAGAAGGAAGCAGCAACACATTATCTACCTCCGCATGGCTTCCATTTGGGGAAACTAAACTTATGGGCCACGTGGCCGGAAGAGTTTGGGAGCTTGCGGCAACCGGAAACGGACATGAAATGTATTTCCAGGCCCTCCGACACGCCCAGGAAAACTTCCAGCTGGACCCACTTTACTCCCAAGAAACGTGATTTGGCCGTGGGTCAAAAGCAGGTACCCAAAATGGACCCTGGTAAATGGAACCAAAGACTCAAACCGGAGGATTAATTTTGACCCATACCCATTTGCCAACCGCCGGAAACTGAAAATCGTTCAAAAGGCTTCGTCCAACCGAACGAAACACATCTCGTTTCGAAAACCCTACTTGCATGTTCAACCAACGTCAGGTACTGTAAGTAGGTTATAAGTCTATGGTTATAAGGGGACTATCCCCAGTTACCCGGTCTTTTTTCGTAGTCGGCATGATGCCCTAATAAATCAGGCCGGGCAGTTGGAGTACGGGGTTGGTCACAACCATGGTTATCACTTGGAAACCGGGATTGGTCACCTTATCATCATGGACTTCTAACCTACCTGCTACTGCAAAAGTCCTGCACAAAAGCGGGCTCCGAAACATCACCTGGTTTTCAGAGGCGGTAGGTTCTTTCAGCAGGCGATTCCCTGACGTCGGTTGAACATCCAAGCACCTCTCCCTGCCCATTAAAAAAAAAAAAACGGCGCCCGCCCGCAGGTTCTCGAGCACTTGGGCCACATCCAGCGGCCAGGCGGAGGCAGTGCTGCCGGCCGGCGCCGGGCAATCGGCGCTGGCAAGCACTGAGTCCAGAGCGCGCTCCAGCATTACCTTGAGAAGGCATGGGGGGGGGGACCAAAGAGCGACCCAAGAAAACTCTTGATAGGTGGGAGCAGGCTCTTTGCACACGTTGCTTCACCGTCTGGAAACAAACGCCCGATCCAACCGAGCCAAATACTGAGAGCAACCAAGACGATTGCTGCAGCAGTGGTTCCAAGCACCACAAGCTCTAGAGAATGCGCTGTTTGTGGATTTCACCCGTTCTTCTTTTTGTTGGCACAATTTTTGCCGATCTTTTAGTACTCTTTGAATATCCTACCGGGGTGGATCAAAGCCACATCCACATCGTTTTCTAGGTAAGAAACCCTGGCTACCTACTATAGCGGTAACTGGAAGCACCGGAGTCCGCAATAACTACGTGAGTCAGCAACTTCCAAAGGCCAAACGGATGAAACCAAAGAGCAACCGTGCATGGAACATTGAACCAGAGGAACAAACAACATCTGTCCAAACATGTTGAAAACAAAACAACAATAGTCCAAAAAAAACATAACAACAACTAACGGTTGAAGCCATTGTAACCAAACCAGAGTCAAACCCAATCCAAGGTGCCGAGGCTTCTTGGTTGTCAAACTCCATACGCTGCCTCTGAAGTGGCGGGATCATGGACCCGTGTTTGTCGGATGCCCAGTCTTTTCCTTTTGTAAAATAAGAACCTCGCAAGGACGTCTATTGTTCCGGTGAATCATAATAATTCACCAACCTGAAACTTGCGGTGGTTGGGGAGATATTCCCCACATACACCACCATTTGGGCTGAATTCGGTCGTGTGAGGTCAAAATTAATTCACCCAGCTTGAGTTGATTGCTTCACTTCTTGGGCTCTTGCTCTGGTCTTTCTCTCTGCCGCAAATTCTCTCAGTTCTCTGCGTGGCCAAGCTTCAAGCAGGTTGGCACCATGGTTGTAGGGGGCCAACCCCAGTTACTCAAGTGATGACCATGGCTAGAACCAACTTGCCAAGTTGGTTGAACACCCATGCGTTGCTAGACTGACATCTTGGGATCGCTTTAGCTTGACCCGCTGGACATATGGTTTTGATTGCGACTCAGGTGAACTTGCCGTGCCCCAGCAAGGATTGGACAAGCTTGGATTCACCTGCAAAAACACCAACCCTTTTTGGACCCCAGAACAACCATTGGATTGCAACACTTCCAACAAACATCCGCGGTTCGAACGATCTGTTTACACAGTTCTCCAAAAATCCTCAAAGTAGCTTCCAGCAGGCCAAGATAGTACAAAACTTAAAGCCCCAAATTAGTTGCGTTCCCTTCCCTCCCTTTCAAACCACCTCAAAGGGGTTTCAAAATGGGTGCGCTCCCTTTATATTCTCTTTGAAACCACCTCAAACGGGCGGTGGCAATGCGCGGCCTGGCACAGCTGGCGAAGAAAAAGGCCCGCCCGGCCGCACACCCGCCCGGCAGTCGACCCTTCCAGCGGCAAGGCGTGCCTTCGGGCAACTGCCAAGTTCAAGGCAGGGACACCCACAACTTCCCACTGCCCTAGGCATGAGAAAGGACACCATTGAAGTTGGGACCTCCATTGGTTTTGGCTTTGGTTTCCTTAAACGGTCATGTCCAACTTAGGGTGGTTATGCCTTTGGTTTGGCTGATTCGAAGCCTGGCCTGCCTCACTCGACAATAAGAGCCTCCTTCGGAAAAAGGCTGCCTCCTTCGGCAACAAGTTGCCTCATTCGGGAATAAGCTGCCTCACTCGGCAATAAGTTGCTGCACTCGGCAATAAGTTGTCTCACTCGGCTACAAGGCAACAAGTTACCTCATTCAGCAACAAGATGCCTCCTTCGGCAATAAGCTGCCTCCTTCGGCAACAAGCTGCCTCATTCGGCAACTGGTTGCCTCATTCGGCAATAAGTTGCCTCATTCGGCAAAAAGTTGCCTTACTCGGCAATAAGTTGCCTCATATATGGCAATAAGCTGCCTCCGACAGATGTGACAGACAGCTGCGGCAAAGCTTGTGACGGCCATCTGTGCGGCAGAACCTGACAGACAGATGTGAGACACAGCTGTGACAAAGCTTGTGACAGACAGATGTGACAGGCAGGTGTGACGGAGCTTGTGACGGCCAGCTGTGCGACAAACATCTGCGACAGAGCCTGACAACCAGATGTGGCAGAACCAGGGACAGGCAGATGCGACAGCTGACAGGCAAATGTAACAAGCAGCTTGTAAGCAGGCTGCGACTGTCCGAACAGCCCCGGCCAGGGCAGCTGCAACGGTCGACGGCTGTCAAAGTAGCCTGGCAAGCCAGCGCAGCTGAAGTCTTCCCTCCTGGTCGAGCAGTGGGGCGGCTGTGACAGTGCGATGAAGTAATGCCAGTGGTCGGGCCATTCATGGCTTCATTCCCCGCATCAGTGGAAATACTGCCGCAGCGTTGGGAGCACTGGCTTCGATCACCTTGGGTCTAGCTTCCTGGCCTATTCATTTTTGTTGCGAGCCTGTGCAGAGCCAAGTGGCGGCTGTTTGAACGTGCACCGCTTCAAGTACACAGCTGGAGCGGCTTTGTAGGCCATTCCTTTGCACACACACACAGGCAAGACATGGCAAGACTGTGCACTGTGCAGTGAAACGCAGTCAGGGCAGTGGACTTGACGGCCTGCGCTTCTACTTCTCAAGACGCTGCCAGTTCCTGCCGCTCTAGAACAGCAGGGATCGGGATACGAGATTTCAGTGTGAGACTCTGAGAGTTCGCGCGTTGCACTTGGCAGCAGCCACGGTGCAAACTGATCAGGGGTCAGAAGGCACGCAGGCACGCAGTTGTCCACTGTTTCACTGAGCATTTGAATTGGTAAATGTTTTAGGTGCGAATTGTTCGAAGTAAAGTAACTTGCTCCGCACGGAGGCAGTGCGCGAAGAAAACGGATATTGACCCGTCCCCGCAAAAGACAAAAAACCGTCCAACATCAGGCAACGACGCCCACGCCCTTCGTATCTGTCCTTTTACCACTCGTGTGGACATGAGTTGACTTGAAAAAGGAGGGGTTCTACTCTTTGACATGGTGTTTTCATGGCAAGACTATGTAATCCAGGGTCAACATGCAAATTTGGCGAAGGTGTTTCAATCAAAACCTCCTTGACCACGGACGCTCCGATCCCGATTCGCGCTCCCCGATTCGCCTCGATTCGTGGCATTGGACTCCTGGCGGGTCGATGCCAGAACGGCGCGCCAGGCGCCGGAGCATCGGCACTGCTCCGGCAGAGGAGTAGGCCTGACTCAGCTTTAAGGGTTTGGGTGTGTCTTGGGTGCCATTGTTTTGGAGGGTCCCTTAGTGTTGCATTTGTGTACTACTGCACAAATCTTGGGATCGTTTGTACCACTCGGTGTACTCATGGACACTCTTGGAAGTCAGACACAGGCCATGGCAACAGCCTGCCACTGAATGGCTTGGTGACATAAGGCGGGAAAAGCGGGCAAACCCTGGTTTCCTCCATATAACTCGTCCAGAACATTATACATATATTTAATATGAACCTATAAACGATTTCAATTCTTCGTTGACGTTGGAAGGGGAGCAAGCATTCTTCAATTTTAGCAGTTCAGTGGGGATTTCCCGCTAAACCACCATAAGCAAAAATGTAAATGTTTCCCAACAACAACCATGCATTGTGGCTTATGCCTCTTTCTTTTGCACAGGAAACCACGAGCCCGGTTCCCCTCTCTGAAAGGGACCTCCGTAGCCCTGCTTTGGGGTCTCTGGATTTTTTTCCCCAGGGGGTTGGACACGCCAATCTGCACACAAATGTCTACAGTCAAAGGTGTCGAGTAAGCCCTAAATTGGTGGGTGGGAATGGTGGTTTGGGGGTTTGAACCTCTGGTTCTTGTAGAGGGTAAATGGTAAACCACCAACGCCACCAAACCACCTAGGGGAGGCTGATTTTGCCAATGGCCACCGGACCCCTGTTTTTGCCTGCATAACCCCAATTTTAAAGGGTCCTAGCAGACTTGAGAGGGTGAAGAATCAAAACAGTTCCCCTCCCGAGTGCTTCCAGTTACTGCCATAGCAAGTGACCAAAAGAAACCATCACCGAGTGGAAAAAACTCCTGGTTACGTGCTAGGGTGGCAACTGGAAGCAAGCTCAAGAAAAAGCACTCGCCCTCAAAGTTACTCTCCCGACGGTGTTTGACAGGGAACTCTAAGCTACCCCGAGCACGTGGTCATGAAGGCATGCCCTCTTTTCACTCCCTTCTCGCTGGACGAAGCGTAGTTGCTCCTTTTGGCCTGACATCTCTGTAGCATTCTTGACCCTGGAGCGATAAGGAAACCGACCCAAGCTGTTTCGCCGGTTTGGTGAATTTGTGAATGGCCCCATCGGACTGCCCTGGGCCAAGTTTGGGCAGCCCCTCTCTTCTTCAAGCCCCCAGCGCGGAAAATCAGGCTTTGTGCTTCAAGGCGACCCTCTCCGACGTCGGCTGAAGCATGGCTGTGTTTTTTTGTATGAAGCCACAACATGTTGAGAACCACAACTCAAAACATAAATTTCCAGGTTGGGCGTCCCCCATGCAGGGTAGGCATCCCTCAAATTCTTTGCTCGTGACGCAAACATAGCCCAGAGAACGGGCTGCTCTTTGGTTGCCCTCAACAAACCTTTAGGTTGACTGTCAGCACTCAAAACCCTTGCCCGGAGGCCTACTCGAAAAAGAACATGAGCCCTGCAACCCCAACTTTATTTGGTTTCCCCCCCCCAAAAAAAAGCAAGGAAACACGTCCCCCCCGCCCCTGAAAACCCATTGGTTCCCCGCCAGGGCCCAAAGAAACACGTCCCTTCCCCCCCCCCAACCCCCGGCGAGCCGCTCTCGTGGCACCCACACCTCGCAGCGGTGGCGCCTGGGGCGGTTTTCGGCATCCGCCTCCGCGGACCGAGCGGCGCGCGCTGGGCTGCAGTGGGTTTCGCCTTCTGCTTGAGGGTTGAGGGGTGGAGCTAGTTGGAGTTGGTTGTCTTTTGAACTTTTGGGGGGGGTTGGGGGGTTGAGGGGTTGCGGGGTTCGGGGGTTGGGGGGTTGGGGGGTTGGGGGGTTGGGGGGTTGGGGGGTTGGGGGGTTGGGGGGTTGGGGGGTTGGGGGGTTGGGGGGTTGGGGGGTTGGGGGGTTGGGGGGTTTTGCCTTTTGCCGGTTGGGGAGGCAGAAGCGGGGTTAGAATAAGGGTACCCTGTTTTCTTAGTCTATTTTAGTAGGGGGAACCCTCCCAACCAGCTGGCTGTCTTTTGAACTTTTGGGGGGTGGGGGGTTGAGAAGGCTGCCAGTGCTCGTCTTTCGATCAATTGAAAGTTGGGGACCCTTCCTTTCCAGACTCAAACCTCTTTCTCGATCTCCATCCCCCAAAACCTGGTGGGTTGAAAGCCTTGGGAGTTTCACATGTTGCTCTGTCCGCAAAGGGGATGCTCTTTGATCTGTCCCTTGCGAGCAAGCCGGCGGTCATTCTCGGGTAGGAACTGGGCCAAGAAATCAGAGCTTCAAGTCCAGCCCGACAAGCCGAGCTAAGGGGCAACAGCACCAACGCCACAGTCGTGTGGGAAACGACCCGTTCTGTGATATAGGGAGACATACCGTGACATATGACTCAGTCCGCGGGGGGAGGGGCAAAACAAAGTAAAAACGTGGGAAACTTGTTGTTTACCACTTACTTGGTCTTACCAAAAAGTATGAAGTGCAGGAACTCAGGAATTGAGATGACGTTCTCACTACAAAACCACCCAAAATCGGAAAGTGGCTTCTGGCCCCTCAAGGCTACGAGCCAAAACAGCCACCCCACTTTTGCTGCCTGGGTCATATACGTCCATTTGCTTAAGGCCCCTGCAAAAAAAAACAAAAACATTTCCTGCAGTGAAATCGATTCCCTTTAAAACCAACAGGGGACAATCAAACATATTCTTAAGAAAATGAAGTATAGGAAAACACCCTCCAGGTTGACCAACAAAATGAGGAAGCACAACGGTGGGCTGTCACATGCATTTTTATTTTTTTTTACAACAAAACCCTTTGATGTTTGATATAGGGAAACCCTTCCCACCATTAACAACAAATGAGGGAACGCAAAACGGCGGGGGAGGGGCCACACAATTTCTTTTTTGATGGTTGACATAGGGGAAAGACTCCTTCCCACCCAACACTAAGAAGGACAACACGCAAAACGGTGGACCGGGGCATATAGGGGAAACAAAAAACCTTCCCCCCCCCCCCCGGAAAAAAAAAAAAAGAAGAAAAAAAAGAAAACACAAAGACAACATTTCGGAGGACAAAAACAGCGGCGGGGGGCGGGCGAGTGGTCCGTTTCTCGCAGCGGTCGCCTGCATCTCCTGGCAAGAGCTGTTGGTTTGGAGGCCGAAGGCCCTGGCCGCCCAGCGCATCAGCCCCACCTTCGCCTGCGAAAGCGTCTCAACACGTGTTGGGTCACAGCATGTTTGAAGGGTCAGCCAGAGACTCCCTATGTTTCATGGCTCCCTATGATTCATTTGTGCGACTCCCTATTTCAGGTCACAGCTCCCTATGTGTGCTCCTTTGGTTTTAATCCCCCTGCCGTCGGTTTGGGACGCTAAACCCATTGTTTCAGGCTCAGAAAGAGATTCCAAGTACAATGGAGTATTGTATCGTTGGGTTAGCTGGATGCTGGTTCTCAGATGCCGGGAAAACCAGCAGCCACCCTGCCCTTATCAGTTTCCTTCTTGGTGGATTGAACTGATGGTTTGGAGCTTAATTAGGGAGTGGTTTTCCACTTTTTCGCAACAAGAACCAGAGATTCAATTCCCTAAGAGTCTAATTATAAAGCCAATTGGGGGTAACCTGACAGCGTAAGTAACTTGCGAATCTTATCAAGCTTCCCATTGTGGTCTCCCCTGGCTGCATACTATACAGGAAATTGGCATCCCACAAATCACCAGAGCCAAAGAAGCAACGAACTCAACAAACGCAGTGGAAAGCCAGCATTCATCATCCTAGCCCTTGGTTGCTGTAATGACCCCTCTACCAAAAAGCGAATAAGCTTTTTGTGGCTCCAAGACGGAAATTCGAAGCTTCAACAAGCCAAAGTCCAACGATCCAACCAAATATCCACAACAAGAGCCTCCGCTGTGTAAAACCATGCACCCTGCGGTTTCGCTGAAGCTTCGCAGAAGCAAGCACCTACGCGGAGTGCCTACCTAGAGTCTCCTTCTGACCCTTAAAAAATGGTTGGTCATTACCGAAAAAATAACGGGGTCGTTGACCCATTTTTTTAAGGGTCATGGAATGTCATGGAGACTCCAGGTACACATACGTCTCTCGGGCGATCTGAAGATTGGACCACTCTGAAATGGCCTTTCTAGGGTGGCGAACAGAGACTTGGATCTCCTTAGTTCGTGGCCTTGCACGACGTGGAGTCGCTTGGAGAAATGAATAAGAATGCGTAGCTTGCCTACATTGAAACCATTCAGAAGGCCATAGTCGGGCGCAAAGATATGGCAGGAAGCGCATCAAGTAAAGATGCAACTCACCGGTGACATTCGTCTCAACCACAAGTTCTGGGCCCAAGCATCCTACATCGCGATCTTGTGAGTCTGTCTCAACACTTCCGAGCCCCTCTCAAGCTTGGTCGGACATCCAACTTGGTGCTTCAAACCAACCCCTAAGTTTCAAAATACAACCACTCACCCTCCGAAAATGGAAAACTTTGGCTCCAAGATCGGCAGCTAGCTAATTCGTTTTCGCCGTATGTTTCAACAAAGGGGGATCCCTTTTGGCTTTGAACGGCCTCAAACAAACCCACTGGATCCCAGTTCCTCCTATACGTAACGAGTCATTGTCTTTTGTAAAGGGTCAGGGTGGCAAGCCCTTTGTTACCTACAAAACCTCTGCAGTCTGCTCCCCTACTAACAGTTTAACTTTTGGTTTAATGGAACATCCACTGGTCGAAAAGTTAAAGTCCTAACATCCCTTGGCAAAATGCACCAAAGAAACGAGGCCATCGAACCGGGCTAGACACAAACCCGCTCGCCGGCCTGACCCAGTCCGCAGAAGTGCAGGAACACGAAGGCCGAGCGCGCCGTTTCGGCCGAGCGCGTCGTTTTGGCACGCAGCGGACCCCTGGGGTGGCCGGACCAGCCCCCGGTCGGCATCTGCCAAAGCCTGGGCGTCGGACAACTTGGAAACGTGCGATAGCTAGTGGCTGAATGATGGATTTGATTTTTTGTCGGGCTCATTCCAGTTCTCATTCCTACATATATCTCACCAGCAAGAAAAAACACACGGGATCGAGTCCGAGTGCATGGTTTGCATGCGAAATGACGTCGAAAAAGCAATAACCTATATACAAAGGAGTATACCTAGAGCCCTGAAAAAGGCAGGGCGTGCCCAAAAAGCCTGCTTTTCTTCTCTCCGGTTTAGCCGCACTAGCTAGTAGAAGGGTTGGTTTTTTCAGCACCATGGAAGAACTTTGCGGAGGAAGCCACACAGCTCCAACCCGCTTTCTAGACCTAAGGCTCCGGGAGGGCGATGGCGATGGCTTCCCGGACCCGACCCAACGCGAGAGGGACTCGGAAGATTGATCTCAAACGAGGGTCCAAGCTCATGGCTTGTGCCTGGAGTCTCCTTCTGGCCCTTAAAAAATGGTGGGTCATTGCCTAAAATAACCGGGGTCGTTGACCCATTTTCAAAGGGTCAGAAGGAGACTCCAGGTGGTCATTTACCCTAAATAATGGGTTTTCATGACCAAGCTTTTTTTAAAGGGTCAGAAGGAGACTCCAGGTAGGGGAGAAACAGGGGTCGCAACGACAACGTAGGTCAACCCCCAAACGTTGAGCGAACTGAAGCGTTCAGTACCTCCTTAGAAGGAACCAAGGGACCCTCCAGGAAAAGGTAGGGAGCCCCTGGAGACTCCACACCGGTTTTGTTTTGGGTGTTCTCCTTGAGCACCACGTAGGTCAACCCCCACTGGCAAACGTTGACCAAACTGAAGCTTACCCACACCGATGTTCAAGCAAACTGACCTGGTAAGACATGCTCTGATTGATCAGCTTCACTCACAGGTCGAACTGTCTCTCTTATCGCCCCAGCCGCTGGGCGAAGAAGGGGTTCACATTCCTGGCAGTGACTTGGAAGTGCTGGAAGTTGAGACCACAACTTTCCCAACTCAAACCTTAAAAACGGGATCCCTGCAAAGTGCACTTCCCCAATGGGCTCCGCTCAAGTCCCCCGCGAAAAGTTCGACTCTTGGGGTAGAAAAAAAGGGATCCCCTAAAAAGAAGAAGCACTTCGCAATTCTGGGCTCAAATCCCCTGCTAAAAGTGAACAACTTTTAGTGGGTCAAATGGAAACCAAATCACTAATAGACTGAACCAACTAAAAACCTAAAAACCTAAAGAAGCGGATTCACCGGATGGCGAGGAACCGCCAAGAATCTGGATCTGGGAATCAAGACTAGGACGAAACATCGATTTGGCGAGAAAGACAGAAACACGGGCACATTGATTCACGCTTTGCACCTAGCTCCAACACAGCAACCCTGCTGTTTTCAGACTGAGGTGCAAAACTGCCACTCGAACCCACACATTCATCAGCACAACATGCTCCATGGTTTTAGGCCAGAAGCTGCGTTGGCTCTAGCCTACGAGGTCCGTGGTTGTGCCTTCCCAAACTGATGTTACCAGCGAGCGCCAAACCCGGCTAGCTAACCATGTCCGTCTGCACAGCTAAAGTTCGGGGCTAAGCATCAAACACGCTTTGCTGGTCTAGGTCCTCCAGTAGAGAGGTTAGAATAAGGGCACCCTTTTTCTGTAGTCTATTTTAGTAGGGGAACCCTCCCCCCAAAAAAGGTAAAAGTGCACTACTGGGGGACCTAGGTTTGCGCTTGTTCAAGGCATCTAAGGCGGGGCCTCCGCAACCAAAGCTAGACTTCCACTCGATGCTATGCATAAAACGGGGGATCTCGAAACGCCTGCACTGCATTTGTGGAATCAGGTTGAATGGGATTCCGTTCCCCAACAAGAATCGTGCCATTGTGCCTTGCCCACAACTAGTACGCTCTAGAACTTGCCAAAGGCCAAGTGGGCCACCAAGTTCAGTGAGCTTCCTACCTGGAGTCTCCATGACCCTTCAAAAATGGGGTCATGACCCGATGAGTTAGGGCAATGACCCCATTTTTTTCTGGGTCATGGAGACTCCAGGTAGATGTACACGCCATCCAACCCATCTTGAGCGGCTAGTTTTCACTGTGATCTGGTCTCATGGGCTCGCGAGGTATCGACTTGCATCCAAAGGCCACGCTTCCTTCCAAATGGCAGTTCGAATGGGTTCTAACGAACTCGCGTTGTGAGCTCGAATTGGTTTTTGGTCTGGCTTAGGCTGAGACTTGACTTCGGGCGGAGCTGGCTGCACTTCCCAACCTTTTCTTTTAAATTGAACTGGAAGGCCTAGCTCTTGCTCCAATTTCCCCCTGAATCTTGCAAGTGCCTGGAGTCTCCATGACCCTTTAAACATGGGGTCATTGCCCTAAAAAATGGGGTCATGACCCCATTTATAAAGGGTCATGGAGACTCCACGTGGTCTGTGCAACGGATCAAGGCTGGCTGGTACATGTTCACAAAAAAAAAAGAAGTTCAGCCAGAGTGTCATTCTCTCGCTCTTAGTGGATGGGTCAGAACATGTCCAAAATTGTTTTGAACACTCAAACGGTGTGTCTCTTGTTCCAAGGCTTCGGACCCAAAAAAGATCGGCGCAATGGTTTTCATGTTGGTTTCCCTTTAAACCCACCCACCTCTCTTAGGGGTGAAAAGGCGCAGGATCTTAAGACAGTCCGGACAATTCCGAAGCCTTGGGACCCCATAGGAAGCTCACTTGGCCATGTGTAAACCTAACGAAAAGGAAAAAGACAAAGGACGCTCCCACAAATCGCATCGGTCTTTCATAGCTTTCCTTTTGGCTTCCCTCAACATCGACGTGAAAAAAGCAAGATCAACAAACACAAACATGTATGAGCAATTGCAGGGCATCAGTTTTGCGTGAGCCCGTATTGATCTTGGTTGATGCGTGACGGTTTGGTATGATACTGAATGGTTTCTGGCTAGTGTTGAAGGGGAAACCAACCAACCCAAAAATACGGATTTGTGGATCCCCTCATGTGGATCCCCTCATGTGGTTTGGTATGGCTAGTTTGCTTCACAAACACAAACCAACAAACCCCTTAAGATGCCACAGATCCCAACAATACATCGCGGGGAGATGCATCGAGTCCGAGGTGGAAGCATTGACCAAACAAGCCCTTGAGATGCCAACCCTCCCCCCCCTCCCCCAAAAAACGCACACATACACATCGGGGAGATGCTCCAAGCATCCGCCATGGCTAGTTCGACTCCAAAACGAACCAAACAAACCCCTTGCGATGCCCCCCCCCAAAAAAATACCTGGAGTCTCCATGACCCTTTAACAATGGGTCAACGACCCCGTTATTTTAGGCAATGACCAACCATTTTTTAAGGGTCAGAAGGAGACTCTAGGTAAATCAAACATCGGGACGCTCCGAGTCATCGAGGCGTCCGAGGCGCAGGTTGGCCTTTTCCGGGTCCACCAGCCGCAGCACCTTGGAGCTGCGGCGGCCAGCGGGGCCAGCCAGAAGCTCCGAGAGCCGCAGCCAGCCTAAGCCGACGTCGGGAAAGGTGGGAGGATCTGGACACCCGGTAACGTTTAAAGGGGTCCCGCGTGTTTTTTTCTGCTTTTGGGATAGCCCCCATGCACGCCGAAATTTAGGTGTAAATTTTAATTGGGGTGTGTGTGTGTGTGTGATTTGATGGGCACCTCCCACTTTTGGGAGGGTTGCCTATTCAGATTCACCCACATGGAGTTGCGGGTCGCACCTGGTTGAATCTCCGCCCTCTCCTCCAAAAACAGTGGTTTGTTTGTCTTAGGGGTACCCGTCTCACCTTGGGTGAGCAAACGGACAAACAGAATACTCCAATTGAATGGATTATCTGGGGTGGGTGAGATATGTTGACCTGACTCTCAGCCTGGGCTTGAGGGAACCAAAAGGAACCACGATTGGTGAGGTCCCCATATTTTTGTGCAAACCATGGCACATAATGTGCCATGGTCAAAACTCATTTCAGTCATAGTTGTCGTCAAGGGAATCAACGGGATATTAAGTTTGCAAAATAATAGTTTAAACATGCTATTCCCGGCAAGCCACTATACCAGGGTTTCCTAGTGGGTCTTACATGAGGACTTCCCCGTGGATACCTATTCAAAACTGGAAACTGCTGCTTTCGCTATTTCTCCCCTTTACACCACGACCCTAACCAAAGGAACAATGCAAGAGCAAGCTGACACAAAGGTGCTCACTGGCTGAGTAGATGGCCCAAAAAAAGTCCAAACTATATTTGTACCACTAAAATGATCTTCCCAAAAAGTTTAAAGTTCATGAACTCAGGAAGTGAGTTAAGCTGGCTCAGAAAGGAAAATGGGACGACTTGGATGGAGTGTTGCCCTGCGGCCCTGCGCGGCAAGGGACCCCTCCGGTCGATAAAAAAAAGGGAACCAATTTGTATCGGGTCGATTTCCAAGTGGGGAACCCATAATCCCAGGGATTTAGAGGACGTTGGTCGTCAAGGGAGACAAACCAAAGAAAGGCCGCTAGGGTTTGCAAAAAGGGCGAATAATTTATAAAAAGTGTTTAGAAAGCGGGAAGTTACCAAACGAAGGATACATCAAAACCACTACCCCTAGGTATCTCCAGCAATTGTGTGGCCACTTTGCCAAGGGTTTTTACTCACCCCATGTTGCCTGGGAACACCACCAATCCACCAAACCACCAATCCCAATCACCTACTTGAGCTGAACATTGGAACCTCCATTAGGCGGGGTAAATCAAAAGGAAACATTTAGGTCCGTGTTGGGACCATGAGCCGCCAACTCAGCGCTTCTCTTCGTTCCCATTCTAACCAGAAGGCATTGCCTGTATGACGAATAGAAGCCTATGGAAAAGCCGAGTCACAGATATGCATATATTATGTCATGTACACCAAACATATGTAGATATCTACACATATATACATCATACATACGCAAAGTGGGATTGTTGATGCACGCACAAAGGCCGGTCTGGGAGATGCCCGAAACACGCGTCCGAGCTTGTTGTTTCCCACGAAGACGTCCTTCCAACAAAGTAGCATGCACGGGAAGGAGTAGGAGTGAGCTTGACACACTCAATTGAACGCTTCCAAGCTCCAACAAACACGGTCTCTTGGGATCGGTCACCCACGCTGCCAAATAAGGGGGAGTTGGAAACAAACAGTTGCCGCCATCCTGCGACTTCATGGGGTTGCTTGGCGAAGCACAGTACAGGGTTATATTGCCCTGTTGGTTTTAAAGGGAGCCTATGACTACTGGACATATGTTCATTTTTTCCAGGGGGCGAAACGCAAATGGAAGCATGGTTCCACTTTTTGGCTACCCCAAGATAGACTTAAACCCAGGGTTCCCCTTTTGAGGAAATCAGCCACCCGGGTTTAAGGCTGCCTTGGAAACAAAAAGTGAAGGATCTTGCAGGTTTTCTAAAGGACGCAGGTGCAACCCAAGAGCCTCGGGTGGACCCAGACAAACCTCATATTGAAGGATTCTTGCCCCGAAGCTTTACCATGTATTGTCAAACGGGCCAGCCTTGGTCCGAATATTAGCTGAATACGTAAAATCCCCAGAGTCACAATCAAAACCCGGTATTAAAATGCTCTACCCAGAACCATGCTTCAAGAATTAAGAAGGCGGATCTCCGCAGCGATTTCTGGCTGGGAGTCTCCCTTAACCTCCATCTACCCGAATCGGTTTTGATTGCACGTGGCTCAGGTGGGTCCGACGTTCTGGGTTGAAACTCTGTGGTGTGGAAACCTACCTCAGGTGCTCCGGAAGTATCAGATTTTGTTTGATGTCTAGAAGTCGCCATGCTCAAATCATGGGAGTCACTTCCCAAAAGAAAGGGGTCTGGGGGTCTCTCAAATGCTCAAGTAAGTGTAAGTGTAAGTGTAAGTAAGTGCTCAAATAATGAGAGTCACTTCCAAGAAAGGGGTCATGGCCCAATTCTGAGACTCCAGGTAGCTCCAAACAAGTAGTATGTTCAGATTGTGATTCATATCTGGGGGTCTCTCAAAATTGGTGCCCCCCAAAAAGGGTTGTTTCTCCTTTTGCTTCCCTTTGAAACCCAGCACCTGGGGCTTACCCGCAAAAAAAGACGCACCCATATCGAGTCTCAGTTGCTCAAAGGAGCCAAAAAAAAGGTCATCCTCTTGGCGTCATGACTAAAAATGCCCCAAAAGGGGGGAAAACAAAAAACAAGCTTTCAGGTCGCTTCACTTCAAGTGAGAAAATCTACAACTTGCTTTGAAGGAGACCCCCGCCTCGCCACCAAACGCTCCAAGGAGCACATGCCATACCCGGCCGGCAAATAACTGGCGATGGACTCCCCGCTGGGCCTCAGCCGGCGAAACCTTTCGGCTCCGATTACACCGCGGCTTCTCTTCGCCGCGGCCTTTCTCAGGGCTCCCGATATTTGAAACATCACCCCCACCAAGGGATACTCACCTTGGGCAACAAAAATCTAGGGGGTGATTCCGATTCCATTCTTTCCAACCATCGTTCTTTTCAAAAACCGGATCTGTTTCCCCTGGGTTTTTGATGGTTTTGCTCGAAAGATTTGGATCCCTGGAAAGAATGGAAATGGAAGGTAGCCCTAGAAAAAAGGTGATGTTGAAAACCACCAAAAGGGGAAATAACTCGGGAACCCTGTTTCTCAGGCCGAAGGACACCGCCCGTGCGCTCTTTGAGGCTACCATTTGGTTGCGCAGACCTACGGAAGCCACACAGGTTCGGGGTGCCTCTCTGTAAGACACATACCTGGAGTCTCCTTCTGACCCCTAAAAAATGGTTGGTCATTACCTAAAATAATGGGGTCGTTGACCCAGTTTTAAAGGGTCATGGAGACTGCAGGTAGTTCTTTGATTCAGCTTGAGAGGCAACAAATTCGCTCACATCCGTCCATAGAAGCCATGGTCCAAATGTTCGGCTGCCAGAACGCGGGTTTTTTTTTGGTAGCCGCTCGCTTTGTGGGAATTTGGCGAGTCCCCCTTGTCCTCCCTCCCAAATTTCAAATGCACCATGGAACGCAAAAAGATAACATGAAGCACTCATTGATGCTTGGGGTCCAGTGTTGCATCTCTAAAGTCTTGGTCAAAAACATCACAGCGGAGGCAAGCAGAGTGAGGCTCGGTCCCTTCTCGCGTGTTGCCTAGGATTCCGAAGCCTAAAAACAAACTCGGGGCCTTTCGATGTGTGGAACACGATCCCTTTCCCAGAGGGTTGCTTGGCACCTCATGAGGATGGCGCTTCTAGGGGGTAAAAAAGGGGTCGTTCAGTCCCTCCTTGGAAGGTACTTGGACCCTCTGGGTTTGGAAAAAACAAATCGATGGGGAGATGACGTTGGCTCGACATGAGCCAAGGGGTTTTGACATTTCGAGGCATGAGGGATAACACGTTGCGCATGTATAGACACCCTTCTGGCTTGATTTTGAAGAGCTGTCCAACCAGAGTTCGGGTCCGGATTCCATATCATGGATACCATTCAGATTTCCATGCGCTCGAAAATAGCCATGATGAAGAAAAGCATTGTAGTGGATGCAATCTTACCATGTGGTATACATTGATACCATGATTTTGACATATAATGCCACTGGTTCAAGAAAAAGCGTCCCGACTTGAGGACCATTTTCGAATGCAGTGTCCGTTTCCCTGTCCTAACATGAAATACAAACATGGGGTCCCCCCAAAGGCGATTCCTACATTGACTGTTTTTAGACCTATGCAGGTCTGCAGAGAACCAAGTGAGCCCGAGGGTCCAACAAAAGGACCATGCAAACTGTCATTCTTCAGATGTCGGAGTTTGTGTTTTGTGGGCAACCCCATGCTCACATGATCATTTAGCGAGCGCACTAAGCCCCATTTGTGCAAACCGCCTCTATAACAGAAATATCCACATGTAGTCGTCGAAGATATGGGGGTTGATGAAACAGGTCCTTTATACACATGGGGTGACCATTGGGGCAACCACAAAAACAGTTGCGACTTTCGTCACATGGGCAAAGTTACCCATGGTCATGTTGGGGCTGAACGGACAATTTGGTCAACCTCCATATTTTAATCGGTAAAGCCGGAAAGGAGTCAAACCCAAAGAGATTCAAGGAGCGAGCGGTATCAAGACTCGTGTTCTCTTGACTCCGTTTGGGCCGGAGGCTGGGCTTCTCGTTTTCTCTGTCATCCACACTCAAGAGGCACATTACCAACCTTTGACTAGGTCCTCCAGATCTGACAGGTTAGAATAAGGGTACCCGATTTTTGTTCTGTAGTCTATGTTAGTAGGGGAACCCTCCCCCAAAAAAGGGTAAAAGGGCACCACTGGGGGGACCTAGGTAATGTCATATTAGTTGGAATGTCCTTCTAGTAATGTCCCATTACACTGGTCATCCAACTAGTGAACAGCTTTCGTAGTCACCAGCTTTCGTCTTGTCATGCTTTATCTCCAAGGGAGGCTTCCTGTTCGGTCTCCCTTCACAATCACAAAAGGGGCACTCTCAAAAACAGGCGCACACATATGGTGCAAGGATAGGGGGACCACACAAAATGGGTAGCTTCCTTTTAAATCAATTTGAAACGGGTGCCCTAAGAAAAACAGAACACACACACACAACCCAATCCCCCCCCATATAGCCATGAATTTTAGTAGGGAGCCACGTCAAAGGTGGTTGGCGGACAGGAATTCCAACCTACATCATGAAGCATGATACTGTGCATGGACGAAATCCTGCACCACCTAAGAAACCCTGGAATTGCGATTCCCCTGTAAATACCAACAAACAATGGTTTCCTATGGTTTCAAAGTGGTGCAGGATTTCGTCCATCCGCAGTATAACTTTGCGATGTGGCCACGATGTCCAGCCGCGTCTTCTTTGAAACCCGCGAGCGTTCGCCCATTGGGCAAAGGGCCCACTGCGTGCCCCCCATCTCAGCTTAGTGATTGGGCAAAGGGCCCACGGAAACAGTGGAAAATACACAACTCACTTCCCGAGCGAACCAAACTCTCATGCCACTGGGGACAAAAATTGCTCTCACGACATTGGGCCGTTCATCTCTTCCATTCCGAACTTGAGAGGCACCCGTGAATCCTGAAGGGGCCCAGGAACTACTCATGGATGATTGGGTTTGTCAAAGCCCGAAAACACACGTGTGCTGGAATCTTTGTTGGGGGACCCTCTTCGAGTTCCACATAACTTTGCAAGGAGGCAGTCATGTCAGTGAGTAACAAGGGTACCTTTTGCAATGTCCCATGCTCCTTGTCAGGGTCACATAAGGAGAAAGGGCATGTTGCCAAACAACTATCTGGGCAAGTATGACAAATCCCCAGCCCCAAATAAGCCATCCCTCTGAAATAAACCTTCATGGGTGACGTTGAAACCTCCTCGGAACGTGCTGTCGCTCTAACTTGCCCATGATGAAATGTGCGAGGCGTACCACAATCTCTCGGGTTACTAGCAAGCTGCTGGCGATGCAACCGTGCGACCTGTTTGTCGCACCGTGAATCCCCGTGAAACTGCGAATGCTAATTTCTCCCCTGGATTTCCCCGGAGGACTGTGCAAAATGAGTGAGCGGATTCTCCTGGCTCCATCAAAGCGACACTCGCAATCCTTCAAACGAACCTGACACCCACCTCCCAAAAGTAATTTTTGAGGAGCCTTCCGGTCCGGACCGAGTCCCTCCTCCTCCACCTAAGGGGAGGGGGGAGGCGCCAGACCCCGACCTCACTTAGTCGCGCTTCTCCTCTGGAGCTGCGAAGTAGGACACCATGGATGTCCTGAGCTCTGAGCCTTCTTTTCGCCTTTCTTCAAGTACTGACCTGCGAATGGGTACCTGGAGTCTTCACCCTCTAAAAATGGTTGGTCATGAACCTAAATAATGGGGTCATGACCCCCTTTTTAAAGGGTCATGGAGACTCCAGGTATGTGTCAAACTAATGGATTTCCTTTGAGTGTCCCTTTAAACTAGAGTGAATGGGGCTCCCTCCAAAGCACAAACCCAAACCCAAATGTCACAACAATTCCAGAACCTTTTCCCACCTTTTCTGTGCAGTCCGTTCCCGTGGCCGAAATGTGCGGAGCGAAGTTTGCTTTCAAAGGCTAGAATTCTGAGAAATCCGAGGGACGCTGCCGGGAACGGGTCATCTGGGTCAACAACTAAGACACGCTTGCTGAGATTCATTCTGCAGAAACTGCATGATGTTCGTGCTTTAGAAGCCATCGACTAGTCAGGGTTACATACACTCTCCAGCATTGGCGCCTTCAACAAGTTTCGCAACTCGCACCTGCTTGCTCACCCTCAACCGCGAAGCCCCAATGCCGGAGAATGGAGCAGGCTGTTTTGCGAGTTTGGACCAGGTTGGTGCCGTGCTGCTCAGGGTGCGTGGTGCCTGATTGGCGATGCAGGCTGCTGTTGTGGGCGCTGGTCAGCATGCTGGTCAGGGCGCTTCGGAGCGTGCTCAAGTTGCGGCAGTTGCTCTTAGGCAACAAATGGCAAAATTGCACTGCTTGATTCACATCCAACCCTGAACAACTTGGACCCATTCTTATCAAGTTGGCAACGCGAGATGTCACCCCATCTTGACCCAAGGGCACCATGTGCCCTTGCTTGACTCGCAAGGAGCCCACCTCCTCCAAACAACCCAGAAGGTCCAAGTACCTTCTAAGGAGATACTGAACGACCCCTTTTGCCCCCCAAAAGCCATCCTCATGAGGTACGAAGGGACCCTCTGGGCAAGTTGAAAAACGGGGAAGCGCCCCACTCGTCTGCGCCCAACGCATGGCACCCGCCCACCGCTGGCCGCCCCCCCGGTGGCGTGCCGCGCGGCAGGACGGAGGCCGCCATATTTGCCTCCCAGCGCAGGATCCGCCAGGGCAGGCGCAGCAGGCGAGTCTCCGGCTCCTGGCCGAAGATGGATAAAGCGCCCCGAGTTCTTTGATATTTAGGGAAGTCCTTTTTGAAGGAAATTCCCTATGGTAAGGCACACCCAGTTGGGTTTTCGTTTTTTGTTGGAAACACTTTTGTTAGCGGGTGCCTTGTTTTTACAGCTTTTGGGCTGGTTTGAAAAGGGAAGCCAGGATTCTTGCGGGTGAGTGGAAGCCCTTTTTTGGCGGGGAAGCCCTATGTTAAGGCACACCCAATGGTTCGTTTTAAAGGTAGCATGAAAAATGCAGACTTTTCGGGGTTACCCAACTTTAAGGCAGACACACATGGGATGACAAACTTACTCGGTCCCGAGCATCAGGGTCGGGTTCCTTTGGGTTTCCCTTCAAAACCGACCAATTGCCCAGACAAGCTTGAAAAGGAAGCCAAGATTCAAAAGGCACGCACTGCTCCCTATGTTAAGGCACACTCAATATAGTTTAGACAATCTTCTTCCCATTAAACAGACAACATGGTCCGCTTGTTTAAACAAGCGGTTGGGTGTGCCATGGGCCAACCTCTTAAAGCATGTTTAAACCACTATTGCGCACATAGGATAACATGGAAAACCATGGTAAAACCTAGAGATACGAAGCCATGGTTACCTGCTGTGGCTCGCCAGCAAGCACTGGGTTGTTTAAGCGGGTGTGTGTTTAAAACTATGATCTGAGCGTCTGGGATGCCGATGCTACTTGTTCAAACAAGCTTCTGGTTTGGGTCGGGGGCTACCCTAGCCTGACTTGCAGTAAGTCGGCCAGAGCGAAGTCTTTTGGCCCACATCTGTGGAGCCAAGATGTAAAAAAATCTGGTCCTTCAGTATGTAGACTAGGCTCTCGTTTTACCCAGTGTACTTTCTTCTGTTTTCCTTTGGGATTTCCATTTAAAACACAACAAAAGAACGGGGAAGTTGACCCAAGTCTCAACAAAAAAAGAACAATGAGACCTGTCACCAACATAGCCCTGGACCAGCAGACCTTGGAACCCCCACGCCGCGCCTTGTTGATGCGCTCCACCAGGTTGTGGACCCGTTGGCTCAAGTGGCTCTCGTATTGGTGCACTGCACCCTGAGACCTGCGAGCGGTTTTTCGTTGCATTGCTCGGAGAGATCTGGGCGGTCCGTGTTCTGATCCGCTCAAAGTGAATGGCTTCGACGCATTTCTCGGGGGGGAAAGCTGGGCTGCCCGTGTTCTGGTGCTCGCCAAAAGTGAATTAACCTTAGCGGGAGAAATACGGAAACACCCCACTAAACCCAGAAGAAGGCCACAAACCTACGGGGATGGCGCGAAAAGTGAATAACTGTTAGTGGGTTAAGTATATGGAAACAACTACCACCGAATCAGCAAAAAAGCTAAACCAACTGTGGAACCGGATGCCTGGGAACCACCGAGAAATGCCGTGGTGGTGGAAAGGAAGGGCAGCAACCAGGGGTGCAGTCAAGAAAAAATACCTTGCAGGTGCCCTCTCACGGATGCAATGTTAGTGGGAGGAAGGGTAGCCCTTTCCGTGATACTAAAGTGGACCACCCTTGTGACTACTTCGTCACTAAAAAAGGGGTGTCCCTATTGCATCACAGAAAGTGGGTTCACGACTTCTGGGTGTGTCAAAATCGGTGACCGGGCCCCTTTAAATTGGCTTCGGTTTCCTTTGGTTTCCTTTACACGCATTTGTGCTTACTCAGCCCTTATCCATCCCCTGTTCGCTTCCTCTTGGGGGGCCGTACATACAAAATGTACCACCTGGCGAAATAGGGAACCATAAACATGTCGTCTTCCCATTATGTGCTTGTCCTTTACGCCAAAAGGGCACCCTTGAGTCAGCGTCCCCTCAATACCTTGGGTGGCTTCCACCATGACCCTTATTTAAAATGGGTGCCGGTCAAACACAGGTAATTACCCAACATGGGAACCCTGGCAAATGGAAACATGGACTAAAACTTGCGGTCCCCTGGTTTTTGTCTTGACCCATCCCAAATGGCAACCAAAGGCAAAGGAGTCGTGGCCGTTCGCAAAAAGAAACACCCTCTATTTCTGGGTTGTCCGCAGGTCCCCTGCTATAAGCTTCACTCTTAATGGAAACTACCACCAAATCAACTAAGGTTGACCCCGGATTAATAAACCCCTGTTTATCAGTATGGGGGTGTGCCCGGTTTTAGTGGGGATTTATCACTTTTGGAGGGGGACACCCCCATAGTAACAAACCAGGGGTTCATTAATCCGGGGTCAACATTAACAAACATTTGAACAACCTAAGAAACCTGATAGCGTTGAACCCCCCATCTGATCATCTCTCGAAGCGGCATGGTCCATATGGCTCCATCGGACACCTTGCTCGCCAAGATCTTCTGAACGACAGAAGACTGCCGCGTCTTTTGGGACGCCACCTCCGTGGTTCGCATAAAGTCCAACAAATCCTCGGTACCGAGCGTCAAAGTATGTGTCTGGGATGAGCTTGGGGATGTCTGGGATGCCTTGGTTTGGTATGGGGTGGGGCGTGGCCGGGGTGGGCACTTGCTGGGGGAAAATGGGACAAGTCACGTTCCAAAAGGCTAAACACACGAAAAAGATGTTGCTACTTCGTGGGGGAACAGCCATTTGCAACAAAGGTCAACAGATGTTAATTCGGTCTCCTCACTGCCACAGAAGATAGGCCAACAAAACAGTCGAAACTCTTTGCTTGCCACAAAACTGTTCTTCGCAAGCATGACTAAAGCGAATATGCAGTGACTTTATGATGGATCTATCAGGCAAAGTCACCAACTGGGTAAAAGGGAAACCATTTCGTCTTTGAAAGGCGGAAACAAACACAAAATGAGCCACTGAAGTCTTCATTCGGTTGCACCCGGGGCCAAGGTTCTGTCAATGACCGAGACCGGGAGCGCGCCAATCGACTGGACGCCGGCGGGGAGTTAGGATCGATCTCAGTCTTGTCCCCAAAGATATCCTGCGAACGGCAGGGCTGAGCCGTGTTCGTTTCAAACAACCTGTGATGTTTATCTTTGCTACCTAGAGGGTCCAAGTAACTCATCAGGATGGCTTTTAGGAGTAAAAAGGGGTCTAAGTACCTCCTTAGAAGGTCTGGGCAAGGCTTAAACGTTAAAATATTGTTTGTAATAAGCATATTTTGGTTTACACGGTCAAAAACATGTTGCTTAAAATTGTTCAAACCTGAAGTAAGGTGAAATAAGCAATCCCCCCGAAGAAATCGGAACTTTCATGGGTCAGGTCGCTGGGTTGGTCCCACAATGGTGGCGTGGTGGCCACTTGGTTTGTAGAACCCAGGGGTTGGTGCCCCGTGTACATGACAACATCATGACAATCAGGGCCCCCAGCAAAGGCTAGGATAAGCTCTTCATAAGGCCTTATTATGAGTTTAGTAAGGCTCTTCCTCCTAGGGGTCCATGAGACAACAAACCACGGTTTTCTCAAAAGACTTTGCTTTTGGTTCCCCCGTTTTTTTTTTTTGGGGGGGGGGGTTGTTTCGCTTTGTCTTCCGTGTTTTTCTCCGGGGGCTGATCCGGATCAGGTTGTGTGAGAATGTTGGATGCCGAAGCCTATCCTGCATGGTGGCCTTGTCCGTGCAGCTCTTCGGAGTATCCTTGTAAATGAGCTTCTGGATTCCTTGGCTGGCTCGCAGACTCAGTTGTTCAGTGACCCTGGAAAAAAAGGGAACCCTTTTTGGGGGAAGGCCATCCTTTAGTGGGGCAGCCACACAAAAAAAAAGGGAAAAAGGGTGCCACTGAACAACTGGGCAGAACACCCCCCCCACCCCCAACCAAAGCCCCATGCCCGACCTTTCACCCAAGCAAAAACCAACCAACCAAAAACACACCTGGAGTCTCCATGGCCCGAAAAAATGGGGAACGAATCAATGGGTCATGGGGAATCCAGAGGAACCACCGCAGAATCCAGGCTTCGATGTGGCAGCAGCTGAGCCACCGAGCACTGAAACACTCGCCGGCGAAAGGCCGGGCTCATCTCCTCCAAGATCTCCTTGCGCGTTCCCTCGTCCAGGTCTGCGTTGATGAGCAGCAAGACGCGGACGGCGTCGTACAAGGGTCTCATGATGATCCTTGGCCACATGAAACCTGGAAGGTCCCTTTTGTCTCAAGCTACCCCTCCAAATGACATCGACCGTGTGTTGGTTTCAAACGTGTTGGTTTCAAGCAAAAGCATGGGGTTTGACAGCCATGCGAACATCCACGGGATGCCACAGAACCGGACAGAACTCGATTTCGGGGGTTCAAAATAGAAGCCGGAGGACACAAAGTGAACCTCCCATGGGAAAAACTGCATTGGGCCCACCCACTCCCAACGGCCAGCTCCGAGTCCAAAGTCCCCTACGACCATGAAAATAGGAACCCTCAGGTGGTCCAGGACCATCATGTAAGACCTCAAAAGAAAGGATGCTCTACATCTTATATGTGGGAGTTGTTCCTTTTTTTTGTGTTGTTCTTTATCTAAACGATGAATCCTCTCTTCCTTGGCAGGAAATAAACCCAAAGACCATTTGGGGGCAAAAGTGGGTACGCAGATTTAGATAAGCTCCATGTGGTCAACACATCCTTTCAGTTGAGCTTGGCAGGTCCTGGACCTGAAGGGGTTGAACTGACCCCACGAAACCCTCCATATGGTTTCTTTGCTCCTGTTCTTGACAGCTGTTTGGCTGGTGTTGAACTGTCCTTGCGTTTGCCATGCCAGAAGCTGGCTGGACCAAGCTGTGAGACGGTTCATTTGGCGTCTTTTGTTCGGGAATCCGAATACAAATCGATTCAATCCACACCCGGACTTCTTCCCTGTGGATGGACGAAGTCCATTTCACACCACTTTGAAACCATGGGAAACCATTGTTTGTTGGTATTTACAGGGGAATCATTAGGTGGTGCGAAGCGGATTTCGCAACCATCCACAGTATCAGACCAGCAGACATGCACCGCGGCGCCGGTTCAAGATCTCCACCAGCTCAAAGATGGACAAGTTCAATCCTTACCGAGTCAAATCCAAGCCGTGTCAAAGCGGGGCATCCAAAACCCATGGGAAAGAATCTACAGGGCGGCTGGCCCATTTACTCTCGGTTGCTTTCTGCTCACCTGCTAAAAGTGACTAACTTTTGGTGGTGTAGCGGAAAGCCCATTAGTCCCCTAAAATGTTGAAGTCCTAACATCCAAGCAAAATGCACCAAAGTCAAAGGGGCGTCCCAAAACCATGCCCAGAGGGTCTCTTGGTACCTTCTAAGGAGGTACTGAACGACCCCTTTTTTGCCCCCTTTTAAGCCATTCTCATGAGGTACCAAGGGACCCTCTGGGATGGAAAAGAATGGAAAGGGCGGCTGGCATATTTTTACTGTATGCCTGGGACTGCCCCTTGCTCACCTTCATCATTTAGAGCTTGGGACTGTCCCTTACCTTCATCTACTCCGGTTTTGATTGTGGCTGGAAAGAACAAACACAACGCAACACGACCTTGCAACTTTGCCGATGAAGAAACAAAACGGCGGTCCCCCAACAAATGGCACAACGGGGTCACTGGATTTCCCCCTCACAATAGGTTCAATCTACTAGTGGAAACCACCACTTTTGGAGCTTCCAACAAGGGAAATTGGCCTGACACAACGAGGGGGGGATTTACTTTGTTAATCACCTGGCCCTTTTTCTGTAGTCGATTTTAGTAGGGGAACCCTCCCCCAAAAAAGGGTAAAGGGCACTACTGGCGGACCTAGTTACGTCCCTTGAAGTATGAAGCTTTACCCCCTTGGTTCCAGCTGTGGTTTCCCTGGTTTCCCACTTGTTAAACACACCCACACAAATGACAAAGCCACCTCAGATTCCCCGGGCCAAAATGAGACTGGCGCATAACGTAAATTCATCGCAAAAGAGATTCCAGGAACTCGCATAGTGAACCTTAAGGCGTAATTTCATGTCCTAACAGATCCCAGGAAAAAAATGCGGGTTGGAACCCGCTTGCAATTGGGACTCCCTCCTCCGCCTTTGCCATCAGGTCCTTGGGCCAGAACTGAGCCAGCCAACTGAGCAGGAAGAGGAGGGCGCCTCACTGCGTGCCGCTCAGCCAAAAGCCGCAAGTGGGTGCATTCTTGTCTGGGCTGCCCTCAAATCCCCCGCTAAAAGTGACTAACTTTTTGTGGGTTAAACGGAAACTACCACTAAACACTAAAAGGCTGAAAAGCTAAGGGGATGGGTGATAGCCACCAAGTGTTGAGGGCGGATTTGTTCCTAGGCTCGGCAAACAACAAAATGTCGCTTTTTACAGCAGTTGCAAACCTGCTTTTAAACCAGCACAGACAACATCCCAAGAAGCGTTTTCATGGGTTCAAGGATTCTTCAGGGTGGGTTTGGGCGGGGTTTTGGCTTCTTTTCGGTGGGTTTAGGGTTGGCTTAGGGTTTGCATAGGGAAGGTTTGTGTTTGGTTTAGTGCTGGTTAGGGTGGGCTTAGGGTCGGGTTTGCGTGGGTTTATGGTGGGATTAGGGTGGGATTAGGGTTGGTATTTTGAAGTAAAGTTTGGCGGTTTGAGGGATTGTTCAGTGCCGGTTTACGGTGACAGTTGCAAATGTTGCAAGTATGTGCATTGCAAGAGTTGCAAAATGACTCCTAATTGTTTTGGCGATGTTCCTCATTGTTCATCACTTTTTGAAAACGTTGGGCGACCCGTTGCAAAGTTTTTCACAGATGATTTTGAGGGAGCAAGAACATGGGTTTAGGGCTGGTTTCGGGTTAGTTTTGGGGGGTTGAGGTTGGTTTGGAGTTGGCTTAGGGATGGCTTAGGTTGGTTTCGTGTGCGCTTAAGGTTGGTATTAGGGTTGCTTGGGGTTTGTTTAGGGTTGTGTTTTGTGGTTTAGGGATTGTTTCGCGAAGGTTCACAATGCGTGTAGGGTTGGTTTAGGGCTGAGGTTGGGGTTTAGGGTTGATTTCGGGATGGTTGAGCGTGGTTGGGGCTAGTTTAGGTTGAGGGCAGGTTTAGTTTTTGGGGTGATTTAGTGTGGGGGTTGGCTTAAGGTGGGTGAGTGATTGGTATAGCGTTGGTTTATGGCTTCTCTAGGGTGTCTTTAGTGTGGGCTTAGGGTGGGTTTGGGGTCGGTTTAGTTGTGGTCTGAGCGGGATTTAGTGGGGTGGTATAGGGATAGTTTAGTGCGGTTTGTGGTGGGTAGGGTTGGGCACGGGGGATTGGGTTTAGGGTTGGTCTTTTAGGTGCTTTAGGGATTGTTCTTTCAAGTGGGCTACAAAGACGGTTGCTGATCCCAGAAAATGTGGAAAGACCGCCGCGGAAGCCAAATTCGGCACGCACCGGGCTTAGGGCCGACCACGAGCCGGTTTCGGGGCCCTGCTTTCAAGGCAAGCCAAAAAGGAAACCCGCCAATTTGCTCCGTTTAAGAGGATCACATCATTTGTGAGCTGGCTTGACCGCTTGACCCCTAAAGCTTGTGATTTCCCGCGGCATGCTGGATTTGCTTGTGTTGCCCCAGACACCGTCCCTTCTTGCCTGGGATCATATTCGCTGTCCGTTTGCCGATCTGCGAAAAGTCGAAAGAAAAAAACTTGCGGGTTGACTGGAACCCCCCACTTAAAGGGGCGATCGGGTACTTAGTAAGTGGTTAGTAACTTTGGTTATAACCCACTTACCATGGTGAAATAAGTCTCCCTTCAGTGGGTTATAACCATAGCTACTAACCACTTACTAAGTACCCGATCGCCTCTTCAAGCACTGAACCAACTGAACCAGACCTAAGGAACTGGATGCCTGGGAACCACCAAGAAACATGGCGCGGCGACCTGAAAATCTGTAATTGGTTGGTTGGTGTCGCTCAAAGATCATCCCAAAAGGGCCCCTCATCTCGTCATTTTGGAAGCACTCATTTTAGCTCAAGCAACTCTCTGCCATATAACCTTCAGGAAAACACCGCGATTCGGCGGGATGCAATCCCAAAAGGCACGAAGGATCCATATTGAGAGGCAGGCAGGTCGTTGCTTCCGCCAGATTCGAATGACTCCAGACTTGGGGTTCAAACTGTGACGGTTTCGAAACTCGTTTGGGCATCTCCCCCATCGCACTTCAAACAAATGGGTGGGTGTCTGTTAGCCTCAAAACAAGCCCTTAAAGGGTATCCTCAAACAACAGCAAAACCCAAAGAAATGTTGAAACAAGGAACACCCACTGAACGTCTGCCTTGGCTTCCCTGCCACTGACGTGTCCCCCATGTTTTTTCAACGGCGGCGGCCTCCGAAGAAGGCGGTGGAGACGCAAAACACCTTCAGGAAGTGCCACAGCCAGGGGTACTGCACCTGTCGATCCCTCGATCCCTTAATGTTACCCCCCTGCAAAACTTTCATGGCAAAAAGCGCCCAGAAAAATTCCCCCCCCCCCCAAAAGGACCAAAAGGAGGTTCATCTGCAGGCCGTGTTTTTGTTTGCTTTGTTGTTGTTGAGGGGGGAGGTATTCTAAACTGCGGGCCCCCCCCCAAGAAAAAAAGGACCAAAAGGAGGTTCATCTGCACATGGAGGCTTTGGGGGGAGGGCCGTGTTTTTGTTTGTTTTGTTGTTGAGGGTTCTAAACTGTTGGCGGGTATGCTATACTAGACCTACGTCTCTAAGCTTCAAACATCTCAAGGGTCCAAAGGCCCAAGCTGGGAGACGAGGCACTAGAAGGGCACAGAGCACGTTGCCCACCAGCCACACGCTGCCAGTGAGGGCCAGGCCCAGGGCGATGAGCAACTTGTGCATGCTGCAAAAAGGCAAGCCGCTAGTTGAGCTAGACGGTGCTGTGGTTGGAAAAAGGGGGGGAAACGAGTTGCGACTTGCCAGGGGTTGTGGTGGTGTTTGCTGGCTTGATAGATTGAACGGTGTCTAATGCACCATTTGCAGGTTGCTTTGGCTGGACATGAGCGCGCGCTGCAAGATCGAGCTTGGTTTGCTTCAAAGACATTCAAAGACGCATCCCAGCGCAAGCAATGCGTGACAGGTTTCCACAGTTCAACGATATCTGTGGGCAAAACATCCAGCTGGAATCTCCAGTCACATCGCGTATCACGCCCTCGGACGGAGCTTGAGCCGATACACATGACATCCATGCCTTGGACATGAGCCGCAAGGCGTTTCATTCATCTGCCATACGACACTTCAAAACAACAACCATTCAAATTGATTTAAAGGATTCATGTCTGCTATATATGTAACCGCAAATGGCAGATAAAGCAATGCAGCACCATGAGCACTCTTGTCGTTATGCTTTGCTTCACATCCTTGCAAGCGTGAAGCTTCACAATGCACACACCCATGACACACACACAAAAACACAAAACCAGCAACGTCTCACTTCCGGAGTGGGCAAAACAAGTGAAAAACTGTTTGACCACCCTTCGGTCCGACCCCAAAGCTGGGCCTGCTTTCAAGGTGGTCAAAAATGGTGGTTTTCCCTTTGCTTTCCCTTCAAAACCACCCCAAAAAAGTACCAGCTCCAAAAACAGACAAACCCATGTGTCCGAAACTCGGTGACATATTGTGCCCCCCCCAACCAAAGTGGCGGGTTTCCAGCGATTTTCTTTCCTCTAAAAACCAACTGGGCGAACCTGTGGAGTCGTCCATGAGGCCCACACCCGAAGTATCCACTGGCTGGATTGTGAGTCGGGTATGGGTAGCACGGGTAGCATGGGCATTTCTCGAGGTCGCGGCCTCATAATTTCTATGGGAAAGCCCTCACTCTTGAGTGCAGAGCCTGCTGGAACCCCCACGGAGTTTCCCACGGTTTTGGCAAAGCATTTCAGGCGAACTTCAATCGCATGGCCTGCTGGTTTCGAGAAGTGAGACACGCTGACTGGGCGCCAGGCAAAAGCCGGTCAAAGGCAGGAGCCTCGAAAGCCGAGGCCGCTTCGGACTTTTCTCATAGATAGACATGTATATATATATATATATATATACAAATTGTATGTCGTACACTCACCACCAAAGAAAGGGACTGGGTTATTGTATGTATACATATATATATATATATGTAATTATATATATATATATGTATGCCAAACATCACCATAACAACTTTGAAACCAACAAGGAGAAGCAGAAAACGGCCCAAAGGGAAAAAGGGGCAGATCTCCAAACGGCACATCCCATCCAAACTCAGGGCGTTACCTCAGTTTTTCATTTTGGGGTCTTGCCCCAAACTTGAAAACCTTTTGGGCTCAAGGATGTAGTTGTTCTTCCAATGTCCCAAAAGGAGCTGTTTTCCAGCTTGCAGCATATCGGCAGCCGACTTAATAACCTGGGCCAAGCTTCTTTTGAGAACTCAGTTGCGCTTGTTTGTTGGGTTTGTGTGTGTTTTTGCCCCACCCGCGCCCCCCCCCCCCCCAAAAAAAAAAGGTAAATAAATGGCGGTGTTCCTTTTCGTTGTCCGTTAAATTCACCAGAAAAGAGGTCACCCTCAACAAAACAACGCCCCCCCTCTGCGCCTCCTTACATCCTCATCTCAGAAGGTACCAAGGGACAGTTGACTTGGTTCTACCAACATGGCGATCAAGATCTTTATATGCGATAACCTTGTTTCAAAGGGAAACCAAAAAGCAACTCACCTCTTATGGGGGGTCCCCCCTACTCTTAAGGGTTCAAGCACGTTGTGAGAATGTGCTTTGACCCGTTGAGTACAGGCGATTGGCAGGACTACCCACTAATTGGCCCTCAATTGTCGACCAGTGCACCCACAAGTAGGAAACGAGTGCCACCGACCACATCATCCAACTGCAGGGCGTGCTCGCGTTTTCAACAACATGCGCCGGGACAGGGTGGTGGTGACTCGGTATGTGGTGTCAAAGCTAGAAATACCTTTGCTGCGGTGGTTAAACAAGGAAGCCAACTTGAAAGCACCAATTGCAAAGCGGGCTGAAACTAGCTAAACATGCTAAACAAAAGCTAAGCGGACAAAGACACAGCCCTGCAAACAAACACACGGGCAAACTAACAAAGAGACAAACAAAACAAACACACGCCAAGCCATAAACAAACAAACAAACACATGCCCAAACAAAGCAAAACTATCAAGCACACACAGACACAAACGAGCCAGTGGACACCCCAAATTTCCCGAGGATTTGTACTGTTCAAAGCCATCAAATAAGAAGCCGTGTGGCTTACCCGTAGCCAGTCCTACGTCAAATACCTGCCGTTTCTGGGATACCATGTCAACCCTCTAATTTCTAAAGAAGGAGGTACTCACCATGGAAAACCAGGCGTTTCAAAAGATACATTAAAAACAAAATGTATTTGGAATAGGGGGTATGTTTGCCTTCAATCCGAAGGATTGACGAAAACGCCCGCTGTGAGTTCACCAGTTTCTGGATCCATCGACACAGGTCTCCCCATATTTCCTCTTGCAACATCACCTCCAAAGGAAACTGTCTGGACAAGGGACCAAAAGGTGATGCTTAAAACCGAAGGGAAAAAGCAGGCACCCGCTCGACATTCAAGTTCAGGAACTGTGAAACAAGCTTGTGCGCCATGGGCCTTCATCATGGGGGAACATCTGCCTTTCTGTGCCGAAATGGGTGTCTTGCTTGCGGGTACCCATGTTGTGTTTTTTGAAGGAAAGCCAGAAGGAAACGGACCCCAAATAAAGACACGCCTGCACCATTGTCCGTATTACTGAACGTGGCAACCTAAATCATGGAGTGGTTGTTTTGCGAAACGCTCAGGCTCTGGCCAGAAACATGTTGTGCATACAGCTGTAATCCTTGGCAGGACATGGCACAAAACACGTGCCCGCGACCATACTATTGCAGAAGCCGGTGTCAACAAGATGGCCCCTTTTGGATCCTGGTGCCTTTTTTTGAAAATAATAACACAAAGGACACCAAAATTGGACAACCCTGTATACCCCTTTTGCCCTTAGGCTTTCGGGGCACGTGTCAATCTCGGGGCCAACACAGAAAACTTCACGCTGCATTTAAGTAACCTATGCGACAACCCTTGGGTACACTAAAGGGGGTGCTCTTCTGAGTATGTCCCAAATTTGCTCTACCCGAACTGTTGTCTAGCTTGGGAGGAGAATCTAGATATGACACGTGGCAGGATAATTAGCTTGGAAAGCCGGCTCAGAGATGGGGCCCAAGTCAGGAAACTTTGTTTGGCGCCTTTCACGATGCTCATACGCCAAACTTCAACACACAAAAACCCAACAATTGTTGTATACTTTCCCAAGAGGTACATCCAGGATGAACCTCCCTCGACATGCTCAAGACCAAGAACCGGTTCATTCATGTGCCTTGTTCAACACAAACAACTTCAGACTCTTTGATTGAGGCCAGTCATTGAGTCATAACCACCTTGCAGCAAAGGGATCTGCCCAATCATCGTAGTAAAAAACTAAAAGTTTTCTTGCCGCACCTATTCATATTGACTTGGGAATGTCCGCAAGCATAAGAACACTTACCAGTTCAGCTTTGTTTTTCCAAACAGGCAGGAGCTGCCCCAAGTCTTGGCGATCTGAAACATCCTCCCTTGAACACTCCAAACAGTTCAAGCCAAGAACAGCACGTGCGTTGACTAGACCAACCTTTAATTGAAAGGAACATGGTTGCACATGGTCACATGCTGCAAATTCTCAACCCTTGTGAAAGATCAAGCGTGCGCCGGCGCAACATGAAGTGCGGGATGGTAGGGCAGACGAGTTTGTGAAAGCTCCAGAGTTTGAGGTGCCCAGACTGCGTGGGCCGGCACAAAAACGCAGACGCGTTGGTGCAAGGGTTGAAACGGGCTCCAGATTTTGAACTGCGTGAGCCAGGTACACATCAAGCGCGCGATGGTGCAGCTGTGGCAGAGAGCGCTGCAGTTTTGCGGGTTGCTATGCAAGTTGCCTCGTCGGGGGGCCTGCCGCAATGCAGCCATTGGCAGCCATACTCTGGCATCCTCGTCTGTGACAGTGTGTGGCTGGCGCTGCCTGTGCCGACCGACATTCCCCTGCGATACCCTGCACGCAGCTACGATGATCGGATGGGAGACTGCAGTTGGATCCACTGCGTCGGCCGTGCGCCAGCCTGCTAGCCTCAGCACGGCAACTTATGGGAGCAAAAAGTGGCACCCAGGAGCACCAAGCGCAGCATGCTCATGCGTGGGCAGCTGCTCTGCAAGCCGCCTCAAGAGCTCTGAGACCGGTGAAAGCTCAGCTGGCTCGGGCTTTGCAAACTAGGTAGCTGGCTTCGATTGGCTGATGGCCACCCAACAGCCCACGCACGTGCTGCAGCTGCTGTGGATCATCCGCGGCAACGTCCTCCACAACGGTTGATTTACCGGCCCAGGAGTGCAGTTCGTCAATGCAAGTAAAAGCGTCAGCGAGTAGTGACCTACTGGTGAGGCCACCAGTTTCCCACAGCTGGGTAAGGTTTGAGACACGCCAGCATCAAAGGCCCATCGCAAACGAGGACTCAAATCAGCCATGGGTTGAACTCACAGTGCGAGGTGCGCGAACCTCCTTGTATCTACTGCAAACAAGCCTACCCGCAACTCACCATGATTAGAATGGGGACCAGTTAATAGAATGTATATTTTATTGTTTGCTGCACTTTAAGTCACAGGTAAAATGTAAATTTTGTATCCTAAGCCTGCCCCAGTCACCAACGCTGGGAGCCCGATTGAGCCTACAGGAACGCCCCCAGTCCAAAGGGAACGAGGCGGACAGCTCGCTGCCGAAGCTTCGTAGACCTCGCCCTCCGGCTGCTCCAGCGACAGTAGCTCCAAGAGCGCTTCCCCCGCGGCATCCTGCGGCGCGCGTGAAAGGCCACACAGGTAACCAGGGGTTCTCAGCTCCGGGTACCATGGATGGTTTCCCTTACAAGATTGGTATGAAGTGAAGTAGGTAAGAGTTTCTTCGTTTCTTCCCAAGTTCTACTGAAACCACGTCTGACCGTTGGCGCTCTGTCATGGGCTGCGATTTGTGCCTGGTCGGCTCTTGGAAACGAACTTCCACATCTGCCCACCTTGGATCTTTGCTAGGACAACAAAAAACAAATTTTCGTCTAACGATCCAATGCTATGCCTGGGAGCCAACGTAAGCAGCGCGGTTGCAAAGCAAGGCCTGAAAGTCTGCAACGCTTCCTCAAAGGCTTCGTGCGGAATGGCCAAGTCATTTAGGGAGAGGAGCTGTTGAAAGCAAAAGCTGCAAGGAAAGAACCAGTACTCCAGAAACAAGTTGAACGATACAACTGTCTTGAAGTTGAGGCGAGTTTTGTTTTACAAGGGCAAGGAAAACTGCCCTAGATAGAGGGTCTGGGAACAAGGTACCAAATCCATCACTTGTTGGATTCCTTTTGGGCTATCTAGAACCAAGAGCATGTACGAGCCGAAAGCAAGAGCAAACTGGCAGTGAGGGAGCAACAGCGCGATTGGAACAGGTAAGGGCTATGGCCATGGTTCGTATTGAAATCTGGGCTTGTGTTTTTTTGAGGGTAGGTTTTCAGGTGGCTTAAATTAACGGGAAACCCACAACCTACATTGGTGGACATTTCGGTAGTGGTTGGAAGGAAGCCTCTTGTACTGCAAGGATATGTAAAGCAAACCCCCTCCGAAAACCCCCCCGAAAAACCCCCCGAAAACCCCCCCCGAAAACCATCATCTTGGGGGTCCAAATCTTTGGGTGTGAATGTCGGTACCCGGACTGGTGGGCATCAGAACTCGGAGGGGATTCGTGTCCACCAATGACTTCTCAGGTTCCCGAAAACTCATACCAGGATCCTCAAAAACCGATGAACATCGTCATACGCAAGAAACACACTGCTTCCTCAGAAAGCATGATCTTTTCACCAAAAAAAGGTGTTTGTGCAAAGGCACGATACTTTTTACAGGTTGTTGACGCCCCAGCCAGAAGTTAACTTGTGACATCCTCTCCTGGTCCGGCATGCCCATGCCGTGCCAGTACCTACGCTCCAGCACCAGGTCCAGGAAAAGGTGCCCCAGCCTAGCTCCACCATCAAGTTAGTTACGGCTGGTGCCGTTTTTTTTGTTGACCCGGGATTTTTTAACCCTGAATCCAACCACTAAAAGGGGACACCCCCCCGATGAAAATCAACCGGGCTTTTATTAATCCGGGGTTAACATGATGGCCTCATTATTTTACCATGAACAAAGTCACCCCCCAAGTGGTGGGTTAAAGGGAAACAAGCACATTTTCTGACTTTGATAGCCCCCAGAGAGAGTCAAAATAATGACCCCAGAGTTAGCTTTCTCGTTCTTTTTGATGGACAAGTCAGTTAATCTTCCAAAATCATGAAATTAGTCAGTTTGTCGTCTCGTTGTGTGGGGGTCACCGACAAGAACAGGGGTGGCATGCCATGCTTCAAGGGTCAGGAGACTCCAGGTAGAAGCATATGTTCATTTTGTGGCTCACCATTTGCGGGAGTTCATCGAACGATAAAGTAACTTGCTTGAAAATTAGCAAAGAGCCAAAACACAGAAACTAGAAACTTGTTTGAACAAAAAAGGAACCAAGACACACACACACACGTCATGTTGGGCTCAAACCCTTTCGAGAGAACCCAAACGAACCGAGTTTTTGACGGTTCCACTGGGCTTAAATGAGAGCATTCTCCCGCCCAAAGGACTCGACTATGTGGGTAATTACCAATGCAAGGGGCCCAAAAACACACGTATACTTTTCTGCTCGGCGGTGAAGTTCAGGGGGGTTTTGGGTGGATCAGACTTCGGGGATCCAGGTCCTGGGCTCAATGATAGAACCCTTGCCATGGTCCATGACCCGTCTGGTGCCTGGTGTTCACTCCTCACCTGCTGAGTGGATGGCCCAAAAAAAGTCCAAACTTTATATTTGCCACTAAAATGGTCTTCCCAAAAAGTTTAAAGTTCATGAACTCAGGAAGTGAGTCACTGAAACCAGAATCCAGTAAACTAGGGATTCATACTCGAGTTCCTAGTGAGGGGTTCATACTTTTGTTCATACGTGAAGCCTAATCACGTCGTACATTTTTCAACTTGGTTCAAGTTATCTTCGAATACAAACGCGGTGCACGCGCCTAGCTGCGCCCTCGTCAATGCTCAGTTGGTAGGCAGAAAATTTGGAATCCGATAGGCATAGTCCCGTAGCGATCGCTTTGAATATGTTGAAGGGCAAGACAGACGTACATGATTTGCCTGCAAGGCGCGCGTCGTTGCGAATCATGATGAAGCCCGCATTCTTGTCCTGTGACGACAAAAGGCATATTTCTTGCTGTTGAAGAGATCGTATCACCTGAGGAAAATACGTAAGACTTGGGCGAACGTCGGTGGCACAATTCCCGCATTTAGTTTAGTCATCCCCTTCGCTCAATCAAATAAAGAACATGTTGCGCTACTTTCACAAGAATTCTGCGATCCAATTCACCCGGGACAGTCCAATCCAGCGGTTTCCTCTCAGCTGGATACAGTGTGTTCGAAGGGTATGGTGTACTGTACATATATATAATATATATATACACATATATACATAATAGTGTTTAGAGTGGTGGGTTAACGGGTAGGGCACTCGATTCACAAAAAGCCAGACTGGGAGTGGATGATTACCTATATGGATTACGATGATTCGACTGAAACGGGTGACCACTCCTCATGCGAAGCACATGCATCCCGGTCTATTGGCCATGTTGCAAATCGAGTGTTTCGTTCATTTAATGCGCCAAGCACGGTTGTTGAATACCATCTTTTCCATGATGCCGACGTGGATCCATACCCCTGTAGTGATCACCCGGATTCCCTTGGCCACCAATTAACAGCGGTATTTCATGATCTCGGCACCCCAGCACGGAAAGTGGCGGCTTTTTTTCTAAAACAAAAACAAGAAGCCTTTGTGGCGGTAACCGGCTTTCACCTGTCCTGGCCACCAGAGAAGAACCCGAAGTTGCCTTCCTCTTCGTCGATCTGATCCCAATCCACCTTCCACATGTCCTTGGACAGCCCAGGTCGCAACTGCTCTCAATGCCACGCAGGTAGAACAAGGGAATCCTTTTGGGAGGTTCACCATTTTGTGCAGAACCCATGCTTCCATTAGGTTAAGGCCACAGGAAAAATAATTCCAGCAGTGATGAATTCCCTTTAAAACCAACAAAAGGGAAGACATATTCTGAAGCAAATGGAGCCATGAAACAAGAAGGTGCCAAAGAACTGGGGAGTTCCAAGCATCGAACTTCATAGCCATAGTTTGCAGCAGCGCGAACGTTGGCAACCCCGAATGCCCCCTTCCGCCCCGTGCCAACAAAATGTTTTGCTTTTGGGTGACCTTGCGTTTCGTTCCAGGCAAAGTCATGGAGGGTCAAGTCATCAGGCGCGTTCACGCCCGGGAGAGGAAGCGATTTGGTCGAACTCTCGGAGAGCTCTTGAAATACCCAAGACAAAGTGGATCCCGGCTACTACGGTAGCTCACCCTTCACAATATTCGGTTTGGTTTCTGAAGGGTATGGTTCTCTTGTTACCCTGATAAATGGATCTGGAAGAGGTATGCCCCCAACAAGTGGGGCCGTTCTTTCAGAACCTACACTGGGGGCCAACCGCGCCCACGCGGCTATGCATAGGTATCAAAAGAAAAAGCCAGTCCCTGCCGGTTGACACTTCGATGAGAAATCTAGGACTTTTGGTGGGCAACAGGCACTCAGTTTTCTATCCCAGGTAATGTCGAGCCCTGATTTGTCTATACCTGATGGATGAATAGGGTTTGGAGTGCCTTTTGGATGGGTGGGCCCTGTATCAATCAACATGGGGTAAATGAATCCTGGGTTCGCATTAGCATCGAAAGGACTGCTCCCCCGGCAGATTAACATAGAGCCCAAAAATCAACTCCATTAGAGGAATCTCCGGGTTCAATGCGAGTGCTTTTTGAGGCTACCCTAGCTTGCTTCTTATTTGTTTGGGTCGGCTGAAAGGGAACAAAACAGGAAGACAGCAATTGTTGTGCGAGGCCACCCTATGTCACCCTATTTGGACGCATAGGGTCTGTCTCTTTTTTGTGGTTTTAACGAGAAACCAAAGGGAAAACCGCTATTTTGTTGGGTAGGTCCCCTCACTTCCCGAGTGGATGGTCCCAAACATGTCTGCACCTTTTGTTGGCCACTAAATGGTCCAAACCCCAAAAAGTGTCCAAAGTCCAGCTCTTGCGTGTGCGGGTGACTCCGGCCCAGGACGTGTCCTGGAACTCGGGAAAAGAGACCCGCATGAGTCACAATCAAAACCTGCTGGTACCAAAATGAAAATGGTGAACCCAGAACCATGTGAGAAATGAAACGGCCGCAACCAATGGCTGGGATTGCCCCCTACCAGCCTTCATTTACCCGGGTTTCGATTGCGACCCACATGCGGAAACTTATACCCACATGCAGAAATGATATGGCTGTGGCTCAAAAAAAACGTAACCAAAATGTAACCCTGGTAAGTGGAAACATGGACCAACACCTGCGCAACCCCTCCTGTTTAATTTTGAGCCACACCCATATGATTATCTGTCACTGCTGCAGACATGTTTGTTGAATAAAATGTTTCCAAGGGGCCTTAAACAAATGGAATCATCTCATGTCTGAAGCCAACAGGGGAAATACAAATACTTTTAAGCAAGTCGAAGTATTATTCTCATATGATTCTTTTCTGCTCCCCTGCCAAGAGTTTAACATTCAGTGGTTTATTGGAAAACCCATGAGTCGGCAAAAAGTTAAGGTCCTAACTTCCAAGCAAAATGCAAAGTATTTCTATCAATTGATTCCTTTCCCATTCTTTTCAACCATCGTTCTTTTCAACACCGGATCTGGTTTTCTCTGGGTTTGTGATGGTTCCCTGAAAAGCAGGATCCCCGGAAAGGAACGAAAGCTGGGCTGTCCGTTTTCTGATCTAAAAGTGAGTCTAATTTGTGGCTTAATAAGGAAACCCAAGCACTAAACCAAAGACAAATATATAAACATATTCTTAAGCAAATATTCTTAGCAAACCATTCTTAAAATAAAAGTAAAACAAAAAAAACTATTTCTCCCCGAGCGGCCGCAGAGACCACCGAGGCGAATCGGTCGCCGTAGGCCGCCACCGGCACTTCGCTGCCGCAGCCGTGGGTCGGCAGCATGTCCTACAGCGCGCTCTTGGCGCTGGGAGACGTCCTATCTTCCAGTGGCTTAAGCCCCCGGTTAAAGCCGGGAAGGAAAAAGTTCAAAACTACTGATCTGGTCTATTGGAATGGAAACAAATCAGTAGTGTTGGATTCTCAAAAATCAACAACAAGGGGAAACAACACTATATTCTTAAGCAAATACATGGACACCTTCCATGCTGGATGGATCAAACCCAAAAAACAACAACAAGGGGAAACCATATTCTTGAGAAATTGCTGCAAGCTATTGTGCATGGACAAAATCAACTCCTGAAATGGAGGCTTCTCAATACAGGCCCCCCCTGGATGTTTTTTCTTCTGGGAGAAACGAAGATAGTCATGCTGGGGGTAAACCTCCACCAACTGGTGCTAAATATATTGTGTGTCAGTGTGGGTGTCAGAGGCCGGAGGGCTCCCTAAAAAGAAGGTGACGAACAGGAAGCCGATTCGCCCTTGAGGCTTTGCGACTATGACCCTCTTGGCATTGCGGAATCGGGCCCTATTGGGGGCTCTTGTAAACCATCGGAATCTGAGCTAACGAGTAGGCAGTTGCGCAAGGCAAAGAACAACAACAATCCAACAAGCATGTTGATACACCTCAAAGACCACTCAATAGGGAACTTATGTTAAGGACAAATGTCGGAAACATGTAGGAACAACACCCCATGTCATGTTGGATCTGTGAAACAGTTGCAACAAGCCCACTGCTCGCATCGCATCTCCCATTTTAACAAATGGAGATCCAGATCTACAATGGATCAATTGCAGACCACGAGTCAACAAAAAGGTTGATTAACAAGGCGACAGCTTTCTTCCGAGAGGGGGCTGGCCCAGAAGTGAGCTCTGGAGAAACTCGTTCGACATCGCGAGATCTCAACATCCCAAGACATACAGACACTGATAAAGAAACAGACACAAACCAATACAGACATGCGTCATCCCCCTCTTGTCAGACCCCCCCTTTTTCAGAACTCCTGCGACCCCCGCCCTGTAGACCGCCCCCCCCCCCAAAAAAAAAAAAAACAACTCCTGGGGGGGGACACTGACCCAATGAGATGCTAGAGAGACGGACAGGTAGATAGAACAAAAGACGGAGAAAGAGAAAGGTAGAGATACACCTGATCTCGGCGAACGATCCACGGGCCCAAAGACACTCTTGCGCCAAGTCTCAGGGTCTACCAGCACCAACCACTCGATGCTGCCGCGCAAATGCCGCTTGGCAGAGAGCCACTTTAGCCATGCGTACTTGGACACTTGCCTCCAGTCAGCACGCTCCCATGTGTCTCAACAGGGACGCAGACCCTATTTGCGACTCGGGAAAAACATTTGACTAAGAGTCCACATAGGGTGACCCCCTCCACATTGTGGCTTTTGTTTTGGATTACTACTTAAACATGGGGTATAGTTGTTATACTACTTTGCACCTGAAGCACCCAACATGCCTTTTTTAGGTACAAGGAAAAAATGCTCGAATTACCGATTTCTGCTCGACCCCCCAAACAACTCTCGCCCCCCGCCCCCCCCCCCAAAAAACAACAACCAAAACGCTCGATCAAATCCCCTTCTTTCGTCCGGAGGAATGCCGGCAATTGCTACTTTTAAACACAAAATGAACTCGTTTGCGGTCATTTGCGCTCGTTTTGCGGATAGTTGCGCTCGTTTTACACTTTGATTTCTGCTCCGCGCATTTCAGCGACCAATCCTCTTGGAGGACCGGTCAGCCCGGTTTTGGAAAAACGCTCGAAGCGGGAAAAAGTGTACGTTTATCAGATTTTGGTGACGACCCTTGGTTTTGCAATACGGAGGTATGTTTGGGCCAAGGGCAGAAAGTTCGGTAACGAAGGGTGCTCCAGGCAATATCGTATCTGGGCTGTCCTCAGATCCTTGCTAATAGTTTAACTTTTAGTGGGTTGAATGGAGACTACCACTAATCATTAACAAGACAAAAACAACTACGAGGATGGCTGGGAACCATCAAGGTATTGGTCGGACAGAAGCCGCAGCATGAACATGGAGTTCACTGTTTGTCTCAAGGGCCCGCCTTTTGAATGACTGGGAAAGGAAAAAGGAAATCCTTGGCACCTTCCCCATTGAGAAAAAACATAACAAATAACTATCGGCCCTGTGGCCATTTGGGGGTGGATCAAAAGGTCTCTTGCATGGGAGGACTGTTGGGGGAAACCACCAAAAAGACGACATGTCCCACTGAATGGGCAAAGTTCTCCATGGTCCTTTGGGGGCCAGGAATATTGATCAAGCCCCCTATTTGCCTTTCGAGGGAGGAACATCCGATTTCGGCCGGGGCGGAGCGTCCAGCTTGCACAACCAACAGAATTTCAACACGAAAACCCTGAATCCAACCACTGGGCCTCTCGCATAACTCCGAGAAAAAAAAGAAGAAACAACAAAAGCGAAGCTCCAACCGGAAAACAAAAACAACACTCCAACCCAAGCAAAGCTGCGCAAGACCGGCCCCCAAAATCGCCCCCTTCTGTCTAAACCCCACCCCCCCTTCCCCACCCCCCCCTCCCCCCCCACCCGACAGTTCTCAGTTCTCCCCGCTAGGTCTGTGAGCTGCCAGGCAAGCAGCTGGCGCACTCGCTCCAAGCTGGTCCTGCTACGATCGGCGTGGTGCACTTCGCACCCAACTCAGAAACCCCTGGTTTCTGATTCAATTCCCCAACGAAAAAATACCAACACACGTTATGGTTTCAATGCCATGGTTTCATTGCGTGGTGGGAAATGGATTTTGGAACCATCCACAGCATGACTGGGCCATGTCTGTGAGTACTTTGTCATGTGCAACGGCCACAGTGGTTGATCCCATGACGTGCTTCTCACTTTCAAGAGCGGAGTTCCTTGCTATCACGGAAACTGGCAACCTTAAACTCGATTTGCCACCACCCCAGCAACAAGCGGGAAAAGCGGACCCCCACTGCCCGAAACCTCCCCAAGCCTCCCCCAAACATCCCCAAAGCTCCCCTAAACCTCCCCCACGACCTTCCCCCATGTCCTGTCCACACCTGGGTTCGTTGCCTCCAGGAGCTTGGCAAATGGCTCCGGCACCTCGGTGCGGGGGGGAACAGGAGGGGGGGGGGTGCAACTAAGGAGTCGCGGTGGCCCTGATTCTTGCTACATTGAGCGCATTGAGTAGCCTACCCAAAAAAAGCCATCTGCAAAGGAATCTGCGTGTGGACCCTGTTTTGTGGGTTCCAGGTTCGTCTAAGGCTTTCTTAGATTTGCTCGACGATTCTCAGCATGCTGATTGAGGTCTCTTTTGGTTCAATCAGTGGGTGCCAATCCCCAGACCAATCCACATCACTGATCCCCCAGAATGTGATCGTTCATCCAGATGGTGGCACCTTTCTTTGAGGTTTGATAACGAGAAGTCAAAGAGAATCAACCCAGCGGTACAATCCAAACGCCCACCTAGTGGCATTGTAAGCATAGTCATCGCCATCGCCTAAGTTTGCCAAGCGTCCAAGTATGTGACTTACCCAGAAGATTATCTTGCAGGTTTGCCCGTTTGCCTGTGTTAATATGAGTGGGGTCCCGACCACTGATGTGGATATGCGCCCACTAATGCTAGGTTCCCTTTCGAACTCAATCCCCGATTGGAATCATGGATCGTTCTGAGACATGTTGCTGTGCGTAACAAAACCTACGTTACATCTACAAGACGCACCCATATGCAGGGTAGTTGCCTCCCCGAACAAGCTAGGATGCTTTGATTCCGCACCCACAAAGAATCAAATAGTGCGTGAAAAACCGGGCAGGTCAAAATGGAGACCTTCTCCTTAATCCGTGTATAGAACAAGAACACTACAAATGGGGCAGCCCAAGGGAAGGATGGACTAAGGACTCCGATTGAACAGCCTAGTGCTTTTTTTGGTTGGGGGGGTTGTTCTTCATTGAGTTGGGGTGTGCACCCCGTTTGGGCGTAAACCCTTTGGGTAGAACTCTTCCTGGTAAAGGGACACCGAAGGGACACCGAAAAAAAATGCTTTCCTTCCCATGCGGTTTTGGTCTTTCCTGTGACCATCGGAAAACCGATTCTTCATTGAGAAGGGCGACGACAAATTTTGCTCCAAGCTCCGAGAGGTGACAAAGACCCCCCGAAGCTTTCCGGGGAAGAAAGGACTCCGTCTCCGACCCCTCAAAAGGTGGGGGAGCTTCCCGTAGCCTTCATCTGCCTGGAGTCTCCATGACCCTTGAAACATGGGTCAACGACCCCGGTTATTTTAGGCAATGACCCCACTTTTTAAGGGTCATGGAGACTCTAGGTACCCAGATGATTGTGGCGGTCTGCTGCTTGAGTCACTTGCTCAAAACCCGGGATTAAAATGGTCCGCTAATTCCCAAAACCATGCAAAGGATCTAGAAGGCAGCCGCTAATTCCGGCAGCAACTGCCCCTTCCTAAGCTTTATCTACCCGGGCCTCATCTGCCCAGTGGATTTCCATGGGAGAAAAAGGATCGGCATCCTTTCTTGGTTGAAAGGAATCGGAACCCTTCCCCAAAAAAAGAGGACCGGAAAAAAGGGATGGGTAAAATCCATCGGATGCACCGGGGTTTTGGTTGAGTTTAAAGGGGAACCCTTCCCCTTCAAAAAGGACAAAAGGGGCGGAATCCACCGGTGGCAACTGGGCTTGCTTTGACTCGCGACTCACTTGAGGCTCGGTGCCAGATCCGGCGGCTCCGCGTGATCCTCGATGAAGATGTAGCCGTGGCGCTTGGCGTAACACCGCCACACCCTCGATTCGGCCGAATCGGCTCGCTCGACTAAGGCGAGACCAAGGCGAATCCTTCTAGGTCCTCCAGTAGTAGAGAGGTTAGAATAAGTTGGTACCTTGTTTTTGTCTATTTTAGTAGGGGAACCCTCCCCCCAAAAAAGGCAAAAGGGCACTACTGGGGCACCTAGCCTGGAAACCACCCAATTCCGCTGCCGCTGCGTTTTCGCCCCTTGATGGACAACGAGAAGATATGTCCGGCAGTGATCGTTTCCCTTTAAGACCAAAAAGTTTAGTTTTTTCTTTTCTTTTTTTTTAACATTAAAACTAATAATAAACAAACAACACATCTTATGGAAGTACCTGGAGTCACCAGCGATTCCATCCACTTTTGTCCGAGACGCCAGGTTTTCGAGAGATATTTAAGGGTATGCCTCAAACTTTTATGCAGGAGGGGCTCAAACCGCAGGTTTTGGCCTTTGTTTCCACTTACCGATCGCGCAACCCATTTTGGAACGTTGTTTTTTGAGCAGGGCTGTGGGAAATGACCACTTCTGTGATACAACAATAAGGGCCTAACCCCAAAGACTAACCCACCACACGGGGGACAATCCCGCAGGTATCACAGAAGTGGTTGGTAAAACCCCGAGTGATCCCACAACCCTGTTTTTGGTTGCCACAGCATGGATCCCTTGGACCGGGACCCGCTTGTTCAGTGTTGCACCTACACCCATGTCGCCACAGCCAAACAAAAAACCATTCCCAGAAAACCAATGCAGCTACCGCAAAAGGGGGTCAATGGGAATGGTTTTAATGGGGGTAGCTGCCTTGTTTTTCTGGTAATGGTTTTCTGTTCTGTGGCGACATGGGGTCATGAACAACGATCATTCGTCTACCGCAAACGTCAATCAAAAGCCAAAAGCCATTTCCATGGCCTTCTGAACTCGGCCATGTCCTCCACGGCTTTGCCGGCCACCGCCAGCAGCAGGGCCACCTGCGGCCGGCGACTTACTTTTTGGGGCGGGGAGTGCTCCCGTTTTTTTTGGGTGAATCAGAATATTGATTTTTGGTGTTTTTTTGTATTTTCTGGGTATAAGAGTGGCTAGGATGAATTATACTATTCTAAGGGTATGAGGGTATAATAGTATTCTGGGTGAAGTTTCACCAGACACATAAACCACCATGTGCTATTCAACCCTAAGATTGTTCTAGGGTTCCTGTTGTCGCGTTTTCTTGGTATACCCCTAGTATGCAGGTATTCTCCTAATATTGTATTCTGGTAGTGTCCTAATAGTGTTCTAGGGTTCCTTTGGCGTTTTCTTGGTATACCCCTAGTATTCTCGTGTTCTCCTACTATTGCTCCTAGTATTGTTCTAGGTTCCTTTGGCGTTTTCTTGGTATTCCCCTAGTATTCTGATATTCTCCTAATATTGTATTCTGGTATTCTCCTAGTATTGTTCTAGGGTTCCTTTGGCGTTTTCTTGGTATACCCTAGTATTCTGATATTCTCCTAATATTGCATTGTGGTATTCTCCAAATATTGTTCTAGGGTTCCTTTGGCGTTTCCTTGGTATACCCCTAGTATTCTCGTATGCTCCTACTATTGTATTCTGCTATTCTCCTAGTATTCTTCTAGGTTCCTTTGGCGTTTTCTTGGTATTCCCTAGTATTCTGATATTGTATTCCGGTATTCTCCTAATATTGCTCTAGGGTTCCTTTGGCGTTTCCTTGGTATACCCCTACTATTCTGGTATTCTCCTAATATTGCATTCTGGTATTCTCCTAGTATTCTTCTAGGTTCCTTTGGCGTTTTCTTGGTATTCCCCTAGTATTCTGATATTGTATTCCGGTATTCTCCTAATATTGCTCTAGGGTTCCTTTGGCGTTTCCTTGTTATACCCCTAGTATTCTCTCAGCCCCTAGCAATTCCCTTCGCATTCCCCAAGAATTTTCTGGGTGAATCATGGGCCCTCCAAAAGGCCATTAGGTCGAAACACCTTGCAGAGGTCCCAATCCTCCTTTTATGCAGGGTCCGGTCCCATGATGCTTAGGGAACGGTCCCTCTGCCTAGGTCCTCCAGTAGAGAGGTTAGACTAAGGGTGCCAACTTTTTTCTGTAGTCTATTTTAGTAGGGGAACCCTCCCAACCAAAAAAGGGGTGAGAAAGGGCACCTAGCTGGGGGACCTAGTTGATAAGAGCCTTTGGTGGACATTAAAACTCAGTGGGGGTTTAGTCAACCGACCAGTTTAATAGCGGGGTGCTTCTCCCTGGCCTGGCATGCTTTCCCTATGCTCAACAAAAAGGATCCACACCCTGCATTTGAAGTGTAACATGGGTATCGTCTTCCCCTCTCGCTGGCATGGAGAGCGGTTTGGATGGGGCTGAACCAGTCCAACCAAGGGGGGGCAGAGGGTCTGCGGCAAAATAGGGGGGGCCGTCATGAGTCGGTTGTCATATTGGTCGCCCTTCGCAACAAACCAAAACAAGTTGATACCCCGCAGCAAACACACATCCAACAGGAAATCGCCCTTGTGGCACCGAAGTGGGCTATGCCTACGTCACTACAGGCGCTCCCTTATCACAGAAAGTGGCACGAAAAAACCATTTACCAAAAGCAAAGCGTGATTCATGCGCCGCTTCAGAACCGATCTCGCCACACACATGGCAGGGAAACTTCCACGGTTTAGGCCTTCAACATCAAACCACGTCCCTGTTTCCTCTAAATACGACCCTCAGGCCGGAGGTCTAGATGGCTTAACGGCGGTGCGACATGGATCATCGTGTTGGAGACGCCAATTTGCAACAACTTGTTTCGACACTTCTTCGGGAGACCATGTTGGTGGCAAGCAAAAGTATAGACTGAGTGTTGGTCAACCTACTCAGGAAGTGAGTATAAGTGAACTAACCGAAGTTACCCAACGCCAATTTGCAAAGAACTTGGCTTTGCTCACCCGTTCGCTCCCTCGAACAAACGCGCCACGCGCCCCCACGCCTTGCCGCCCGAAGGCCAGTCCGGGCGCGTGAAATGCGTCAGGTGCTCCTAGCTCACGGTCGGGTTTCTGAGAAATGGGGCGCTTTGGATCGGTGGTATTCCTCGTTTTCGGTGGTTTTCCTCGTTTACCCTCAAAAGGCAGGGGTGCAGATCCAAATCCATCAAGCCACTATAGCAGGGATTACCTGAACAAGACTTGCTGCTTCAATAGACTTTGCGTCTACATGTTGAACTCCACAATCCATACTCCCTATTGTACACTACAAAGGGGACCCATCTCTTTTGTAACCCCTTGAGTAACTCAGTTTACCAACGGGCCCAGAAAGGTTCGCCTTTTGAGGCCGTGACTAAAAGATGGACCAAACAGCGGACACCAAAAGGTTAGATCCGGTCGATTCGCTTTGGGCAAGTGAGTACATCCATCAGTCATGAAACAAATCAAGGAGGCACATCATGGCCGTCTCAGGCTCCCTTTTTCTTCCGCGGCACATGCAGAAGGGTTGTGTTGTCTTGCCTTGCCACATTTCGGGTGCATGCTGGTTCAACATGGCTGGTCCCTAAACCAGCAAATGTCCAGGGCCATGGTCACTACTCGCCCAGTTTGATGCCAATACAGATTCAGCCACAAGTCAGAACAGAAGACAAGACATGAACCATGGAACACGTCAACGGGCTCTGCAGTGTGCAGGAATGCTGGCTTGCACTTGTGTTTGTCATTTCCGGTCAATTCATGGGAGCAGCAGGGCCCAAGTGCTCTAGCGGAGCTTGTGGTGCCTGGGACTTGCTCCCGTATACCTACCATAGTGACGAACTCCCCAAGCTGGCATAGACGATTGAGGGCAAAGAGAGCGCAAAAGAAACAAAGCACCGCAAGACCAACTGGGATCTACAGGAGACTTGCGACCTACAAGATGACGACATGGAAATGCAGCTGCAACAAGATGCGCTCCATAAATCACGACTACAGTGGCAAATGCACGCAACACTGGGAAGAGCAGGAATACCCAAAACTGCCAAGACACACAGCAGGCGCAAGCATCCCTGGCAAAGGCCCTATCGAAAAACACAGGCGGCGAAAGGAACAGGCGAGAGCTTCGCCAATGATCAAGCTTGGCCCACAAACAAGTCCGTTTCCATCACAAGTGGGTACCATTAGATGGCCACCAAGCCGATTTTCAGTTTTCAGACTTTGGGCGCTGGTCGTAGTTTAATTTTGACCCTTCATTGATCAGCCTTGACGATCAGTGGCTTCCTCAAAAATAAGGGAATCCCGCTAACATGGGGCAACCCCGATTCATCCACCAGGGGTGTATCAAAGCCTGGGCTGTCCTCAGATCCCCGCCTAAAATTTTGACTTGTTTAGTGGGTTAAATATGGAAACAACTGAAGGATGGAAGCTAAGGTATTAGCTTAATATATTTAATCAGTGGGTTAATATATCTAGGTTTGTTTTTAGTTTAATATGGAACCTAATTCAGCTTCTAAATCAACTAAAAAGCGCTAAACAACAAAACTAAGGAACCGGATGGCTGGTTGAACCACCAGGACAATCCCAGTTCTGATTGATCTGGATACATCCCACATGGGTGGCTGGTCTTTTTTAAGGTTGGACCCCCAAACATGGCTTCGGTGTTCCTTTTGGTTTCCCGATTGAACCCCACAAAACAAGGGGTTGTCCAATTCCGAAAAAGTGTCTTTGATTTGGAGAGCCGCTTTCATTGTTCCCAGGGAAACTCGAAGGAAGCCAATGTGCTCCAAGGGCCCGGGTAAAGGGATCTATAATGCAATCTCCTATGCTTCATACTGTGCATGGACGAAATCCTGCACCACCCAAGAAACCCTGGTTTCTGATTCGATTCCCCAACGTAAATACCAACAAGTACTGGTTTCAACCATGGTGTCAAAGTACTGCCAAATGGATTTCGCAACCATCCACAGCTTCATAGACGGCCCGAAGCTGAGACTCCTCCATGAGCGGCTGAAACTCCGCTAACCTCCGGCCCTGCAGCTCTTGGCCTCGAGTAAAACGGGCGGAAGGAAGGCGTTGGGTTTTTTCGGGGCGAAGGGAACTCGGTCCTCCAGATTTGAGTGGTTAAAACCTGGAGTCTCCTTCTGACCCTTGAAAAATGGTTGGTCACTACCCTAGATATTGGGTTCATGACCAACCATTTTTAAAGGGTCATGGAGACTCCAGGAATAAGTTGGTGCCCGATGTGTTTTTCGGTTTTGTCTATTTTGGTAGGGGAACCCTCACAGTTCCTCCTAAGAAGCTTTATTGGGCTGTCCGTGTTCTGATCCCCCGCTAAATGCAGGGGAACTGAGACACACTCACGGCTTAGATGTACTTAGCTGAGTTAAAAGGGGTCAACTTTCCTCCTTAGCTGGGCTGTCCGTGTTCTGATCCCCTAAACCCAGAGGGTCCCTTGGTACCTCAGGATGGAAACCGTTCGGTTGAATGGAACCTACCACGACACCCTAAATATCTCAAGTCGGGGATGGCTCGGAACCCGCCTGGGACGCCCCTTTTGGACGCCCGCTGTATGTCTTTTGGGTATCTTTTTGTTGGGTCGGCTTAAATGGGCATCCAAAGGAATGCCCACACTTGATGGTGTCCTGGTGAGATATTCTGAGGGTAACTTTAACGGAATGCCCACACTTGACGGGTGTTTTGGTGAGATATTTTGAGGGTAATTTTAAAGGAATGCCCACACTTGACTGGCGTCCTGGTGAGATGACGGTAACTTCAAAGGAATGCCCACACCTGACGGGTGTCCTTTGCAGGAAACGGCTGCGCCTGTGTTGAATTGACGGATCTGAAATGACAATGGGACATGCACCGCGTCACAAGTGCCAAACAATATGCAGCACAAATGCTTTTCTAAAACCCTGAGATTAGCCTGTGGAAGCGTGCCGCATCATGTTAGGAACATCTCTCGTGTCTGGTTCAGATTTAGTTGATTTCTTCTTGACAATGTCGGAGAGCCATACATGCTGTGCTGAGCTTTGTTGCATGGCCCTTGCTCAGCGTGGGAAACTGCGGTGGATGGCTAGAGAAAGAGACGACGCGAATTGACCAATTTCTCGACCTTCGGATTTGCCCCACCTTTCAAGTGGTTGAGGTGTTGGGGCGCGAAGAAGTGCTAGGGCAACTTCTGCTGGCTTGGTCTTGGTGGCATATAGCTTGGCTCGTATACCTCACAAATGGGGCTTGATTTATTATCCCTGGGGTTCAGTTGCCAACATTAAACCAATGGGGCTTCATGTAACCGCCATCGTTTACCGTTCAGGATTGTCATGATCCAAAATGGGTCCTTGCCACTCTTTTAATGAGGGCAAAAAGCCCTAAAGTTTTTGGACTAAGTTAGGCTGGCAGTTACGTAGTGTGTCGGTTCAGGGTGGGGTCTGGGTCGGACGCTAGGTGTGGGAACAAGGCAAACGACGATTCTCAGACTCAATGTTTCGCGTATCCAGTGAAAACCTCAGTTCCTCTTTCTGCAATTCTGGGCGTACCTCAGAAGGGGGCCGCTCGGGGCGGCAACCCGCCAAAGCGCAGGCACTTGATTTGGGAATCCCGCCGCTTGTGACTGTTTTCTCGACACGGGCGGCAAACTACTGTCTGTGCTCTGAGATCTAGGCAGTGATTGAGCCAATGTCGGAACCTGAGATCTGGCAGCAATTGGGGTCTGGGAACCAATTTGGTGGCTGAAACGTTCGCGAAATCCAGCTTCCCAAATTGGTTGACCGGGGAACCTGGGGAACGGTTAGGGAACAACCCTGCTTTGGAATCACGGGAAGTGCACGGGGGAGGGGAGGACCACAATCTTGAAAAGCCTCCGCCACTTCCACGATTGAACAAAGTCATCAGCAGTTTGATCGGGCGGTGGTCGGATTCGAAGGATTTTCCTACACCCTGTCTTGGTGAATGGCCTATACTTTGCAACGCCTTTTCAGGTGTTTCAGAGTGGCCTCTGCAAAAGACTAAGGCAAGACGAATCATATCCCAAGTGGTATTGCACTCCCTCAAACTTGGAAGCTCCCCCAAGTGACCACTGTAAATGGAACCAAGTCTTCCAGAGGGGTGCTAGCTTCCATGGAATGGCCTGGGGTTGGTAGATTCCACACACCTGTGCAACAATCTGCAACTCAAGTCTTTGCTCCATGAATCGAACGGGGAACAGGGATCCTTACACTCTACACCTGACCATTTCAACTTCTAAATGGCGGTTTCCAACTTGATTTTGGCGCTGAAAAAGCAACATGTAACTCACATGGTCCAGCAAAATGTATCGATCTTTTAAGGAGCCCTGTTCATAAATGGTGGTGTCCAACTTCATTTTGGCGTTGAAAAGGCAACGTGTTTCAAACGGTGGCAACATGAATCGATCTTTTCAGGAGCCCCTGGGAAACGAAGCGAGCGGCTCTAGTCTCAACATGCCCCCCCTCTCGCTCCCAGGCAAAAATCGCGGGGTACCCAATGAAACGCATCCAGGACCAGTTTGCAACGAGGCGAGAAAAACTCCGGCGAAATCCCGATACCCGACTTAAAACTCCCTAAGCCCTGGGGAAGTTCTCACCTTTTACAGACATATAGCCCATGCTGCCCCAAAAAGTTGAGAGAAGTGTCGTGTTTTTAAGAGGTAAGCTATGAACACATTGCCTGGAAGAACTAGGAGGTGTCAAGAGCCGTCAAGAGTGGCTGGACTCTTAGACCTAGGCTGCCGGGACCCAGCCTGCTCTTGTGAACTCATCTCATTAGCACACACGCCAACAGGTACTAGCCAGGTTGGAAAACCAAGGGTCCTTGCGGGGTGCTCATTTTACCTTGGATGCTTTTACCCACTCCTCGAAGGAAGCAACCCTGAAGCTGAAGAAGGTGAGTTAAACATGTGGCATTGGCATCCTTCATGTGGGAGTTCCTCAAAAAGGATAACCATTAGGCAAAACGACCAACAGAATGACATTCCCTCTAAACGAAAAAGTTACTCACGGTCATCTGGGGCCAGGAATATTGATCAGCCCCCATGTCCGTGTGAAGAGACCAGCTAGTTACGTAGCTTCGACCGTCCCAAAAATTACTCAGACCTTGTCACAAGTCACAAGGGTAGAAGACTGGTGCCTGGAAAAACAACAAGGACAACAACTATCACTCCTCACCCACCCTCTTGCTTGCTTGTTGCAGCTTGCTTGCTTGTTGCAGCTTGCTTGCTTGTTGCAGCTTGCTTGCTTGTTGCAGCTGCTTGCTTGTTGCCTGCGTGTGCTGCTTGTTGTGTTAGGCTGTGGTGCCAAGCAGCGAAGCTTGTGGCTTTGCCATTTGGTGGGACTTTTGGGGGCCCCTGAAGGACCTCCGGTTTTTGGAGCACCCAGCAGCTTCTCTAAATTCCTGGGATCAAATTCGGTGGACCACATCTGAGAACGGCCTCAAGTACCTGAGTACCTCTGCATATCCTGAGACCTAGATGCATGGACGAAATCCGGATGGCACCAATTGGGATGGATGAAACCATGTGAATAACGGTTGATACACCACATACCTACAGTCGCCTAGCTTGGATTCAGTCCATCCACAGTACCTAGGGAACTCCCTTCCACGAAACTAAACATGGGTCCATGTATCGAGGGACCCTCTGGGAATCAGCCCGGCAGGCAAAACAAGGCAGACGTTTTTGTTCCTGGTTGGTTGATTTTACTTCGGAAACCCCCCTTCCGAAAACGAGATGCCCTCCCAAAGATAGAACTTCCTCAGGGGTTTCTGGAGGCCTAGTCTCCTTTAGTGACTCTGCGGCTTCTATTCTGTGTTTTTTGTGTTGGGAGTAAAAAAAAGCAAGGCATGCGGCACAACAACCACCACCACCTCGAGAATCCCCAGCCCCTTCCGGGCTTTTGCCGGCCGCCAACCTCCCAAGACACACCTCGCGACTCCCCGCGTCAACCCGCTCCGCGTCAACCCGCTCCCCGGCCAAGCGGGGCCAACCGGGACGCCCGGCAGGCTGAGATCGCGGCGCTGCCGGGTGGTCCGAGCAGCTCGCTCTGCCATGCGGCTCTCGGGGTCCAAGGCCTCCGGAGGCGATGTTTGGCGCCGGAAGTGCCTCCCCAGAAAAACTGCAAAACAGGAAACAGAAATTAAGAAAACCAACAATCCCAGAAAACCAAAACTATCAGAAAACCACACATTCGAATGTGTGGGTGGCTCCTCGGTTTTTGGATAGCCTGCTTGGGCTTGAAACTTAGAAGGGAAACTGGGAACCCAGATGTATTTGAGAGGAGGGTTCCGCACAAGAACAACACAACCAGAAACCAATAATTCAAGCCACCCATCCATCTGAGGACCTGCATCTGAGAAACAAACTTATCCTCATCGTGACGTTCGATTCGAGTGGAGATGCAGCCGATGCGTAGTTATGCTTATCATCATGATTACTAGTGATGCTGGGGATGCATCGTGATGATCCGAGTTGAGCTGCAAGAGATGCATGGACATAATAACATCATGATTGATATTATCACCTTCCTCGTCCTCGTCTTCATCGTTTGTATATACGTTTTAAAAGTGATGTTCGGCCCGATTAGAGATGTAGCCGATGCATAGTCATGCTAATCATCATGACTGCTGGTGATGGTGAGGATGCGTCGTGATGATTATCATCCGATTTGAGATATAACCTGTAGGGCTTCGCCCGGGTGATATCAAAATCGGCAGGTTCTTGGTTCGAACCACAAGATCAACATGTCAATGCTTGTTTTGAAGGGAAGCCACAAAAGGAAACCCCATTTCTGAGGGTTTCTGTATTACAGCCTGGGATCACACCCTTGGGAAATGACCCAGAATGGTTCAAAATTACGCGGTTTCATCCGGAAATATGGCTAAATGGGGTCAATACCCAGTGGGTGTATTTTTTAGGGTGTAATACAAAAACCCTTAGACCATTTCTTTTGGGGGGCATGATGCAAATCTGATCTAAAACGTAGCGCCTG